GGACACCTGTGATAAATGGAGAGAGGTTTGCGTAAATTGCTTACCAGTCATTATAAGCTCATAATACTCATTGATATAAAAGCAACAATGGCTCGGGTTTCGCTTCAATATAAGACTCAAATTTCACATATAACTAGTGACCGGAACGGGATCGGAACCCGTTCCCGTTTCTCGGTCATTTTTCCCGACTTTTTAAAATGCCGGGATGAAACCGGGATCGGGACTTCCCGGGTTTCCCAGTCCGGGTCTTGGTCATTTTTGACCGGGAAAAATGGAAACCGAGAAATTCCGGTTTTTCTGATTCCGGGTCCCGCAGGGTTTCTTCTGCTACAATTTCTCGTTCCCGATTTTTTAAAAATTCTATCTCTACATATAACTCATTAAAGACTAATAAATCTTCTAATTATTTCTCAAATTTTAGCAAACTATCCAATCAATATGGAATGTGCAAAAAATATCAGGAGATACTTATGTTCTTCCAGACTATGTAATAATTCAAGGAGGTAACAGCTTTACCGAGGCTGGACTTGTTGTCAGTGGTCCAGCAACACTTCCTCAAATTAAAGTTCTAGGGCAGGGTGAATGCAAATATTGAAAATAGAAGTTTTGACTTGATAAAATGATTATAATTAATATTAAAATGTAAAGCCTATTTGAATATTCTTTTCTTTAACTATTCATATTGATAAATTATAGATAAATAATTTATTTACTGACTTTACGGTACACTTCAATTGCGTCCCGAATCCATTCACGTTTATCCTCAAAAGAGGGATGTCGGTAGGATAAAAAAAGTCAAAGGATGAAAACGACAGTAGCATCTTAGCATCAAAACGACAGTAGCATCGACAGTAGCAAAATATAAAGGCATTAAAAGTATCTGGAATTAAAAGTAGAGTAGGTAGTTCCTGAGTAGAGTACTTTCTTGGAGGCAGCCCCTCGAATTTAAATTTAGTAAATATTAATCTGTAAAAATTTTAATTCTAATCAAAATTCGACCTTTTACGCAAAATTCGACCTATTTTGCCCTTTTTCGGATTTTATTAAATCCGTGATCTTAAAACCTCATATTCTTCCTGTCTAATATAAATGGAATCCCCTTACATTACTTAATTTATCTTATTTTACTTAAGTTTCCTGCATTTAAAACAGGCGCGGAAAGACTCTTGTAAAGGGTTCAGTTCTCTTCTTCGGTTCGGTTTCGGATATCCGATTTTTCACCGTTGTATACACCTCAGTTGTCTTAATAGTTTAATAAGAAAGATGGATTTAACTCTCGACTCTCGGCTTTTTTTAACTTCCGACCATCACTACTATACTACTAAAATTTCATAAAATCAGCTTAATATTGTGAGGATAATTAATATAATTTAAAGAGATTTTTACTATTTTTTCATGGGGGCCGTACTAATAATGGGGCCGTACTAATCAGGGGGCCGTACTATTTTTCAACCCTCATCGAAAGGGCCGTACTATTTAAGGGGGCCGTTCTAATAAAGGGGGCCGTACTATTTCAGTAAATACGGTAATACAATTAAAGTTGAGTAAATATTAAAAAATACAATTAAAAAAACGATTAATTGTTTAAAAAAGTTTATTTTTTGTTATAAGGAGCGATCAAATCTGTTACCATACAATTCTTTTTCACACAATTCATACATAGTTCATTGATTGACCCATCTTTCATAACAACATCTGCCACAAGATCCATTATCCCTTCAATTCCGCTTGGGTGAACACTCGTTATCAGAGAAATATTTTCGACATTTAATTTAAAATGCTTCTTGGTTAATACTTGAAAAAGGGAAAAATTTTCAAAAAAATTTTTAAATTAAATAAACCTCCACCATTTTCATTGTTCTTTGTGGACTCTTCCAATTTTTGCTTCTTCGTCACTGGCTTCTTGTCATCCCCAACAGAACTAACTCGCTTCTTCCCTTTCTTCCTTCCTTGTTGTTTAGTAGCAGAAGAGGTTGTAGGTTTTGAATCCTCAATATACTCCAATTTGGCCTCCTCCTCTTCCTCCTTTTCTTCCTCATTTTTATTTTCTTCCTCTTCCTCTTTATTTTCTTTTTCTTCTTCAATTTTTTCTTCCTCCTCTTCCTCCTCTTCGTCCTCAAAAAATTTAATTTTTTTTCACTTCTATTTTATTTATTTTTTCTTCTTCTTTACTTTTTTTGATTATTGGACCTGAATTTATAAAAAAATTTTTAAGTTTTAAAATAAACAATTTTTTGCATGGCCTTGTTGATTAAACTTTTTATTAAAACAAGTTCCACAAAATTCGCATTTAAATATGATTTTTGTTGTTGTAGTTTTAGCTTCTTTTACCATTTTTTAAAATAAATATGATTTTTTTAAAATCTAAAAATTCTAAAATTTAAGAAGAAAATTAAAAATAAAAAGAGGAGGGTAATTCCAAGGCTTGTCCCCTCATTTTTTAAGAATGTGATGTTTTCATCACATTCTAATGTTATATACCAATGTTAATCGATTCATAAATTAACCCTTTCTTTGTTAATGTCTCTTATTTGGAGAGGCATGTCTGATTTGCATTTTGCCGCAGGGAATTAGAGAAATTGGGGAAGGAAGAAAATTGACAATTATTCATTCTTAAGGAAGGGAAAATGAAAAAAAAGGGGGTGGGCAAGCCTTGGAATTACCAAGAGGAGAAAAAAGAAAAAGATCAATGTGAAAATGATGGATTTAAAATTTGAAAATTAAAAATAAATAAAAGGCGGAAAAAAGAGAAATGGCGTAATATAGAAGAGGAGAAAAAAGAGGGAAAAAGTCAATGGGAAAAATGTCCGAAGGAAGAGAAAATGTATTGAAAAATATAAAGGAGAAAGACAAGAAAAGAGAGAGAGAAGAAAAGAGAGGAATATGCGGAGAAATGTTATGAGGAAGGAGGAGAGGGTCAGGTTTAATTAATAAAAATTAATGAAAAAAGAGGGTTAATTAACTCTTTAACACCCTTAATCCCTCCAAATCCGTCGATACCCCTCTTTCTAAATATGTAGGTGAAAAAAGAAAAAAACCAATTAGCACTACTAATTGGCCAATAAGCCCTTTACCCCCGACTTCGATGACCGCGGGTATTGAGTAATAGGTGTTAATTGACCAATTAGTCACCCTAATTATCAAATGAAATCTCCCGAAAACCCCCTACACCCACAGGATATTGGCGGTAAAATCAAAGAAAATTAGGCGGAAACCCCCTACACCCTTTGGTTGCATCGGACCCCTCCCCCCGACTTCGACTGGCTACTCACGACTAACATTAATTAAATAAAAAATTTAATTTTTATAACGGTAAAATAAGAAGCTAGTTGGTGGTTAGGTAACCTTACGACGGTGGTTAACCACGTGGTTTTCTTATTTTACCGGTTTACAATGACCTTGTGGTTACCTAACCATGGTAGGTGACGATGGTTAGGTAATCATCGTCAGGTGATGCCAAGAGAATACTTTAAATTTTCGACTGCTATTTAAGCCTATAAGATACCTTCAATTTCATTCATTTAACAGGCTCTCAAAACTAGTAGTTAAACCAAAAATGTTTACTCTTCTATTATGTAATATTCTCTTACTGCTCAGTTTTCTAATTTAAAAACTGAGCACAAAATGCTCAGTTTTCTAATTTAATTATGAGTGTACTTTAAATTTGGAAATTTTGACACTATGTACTCTAGAATCGAATTTTTGTACCTTGATTGATATTTTGTCGATGAGAGCCCTGCACTAAAATATAAAAGCCAGTGAATACGTCAGTCTAGTTGGATCATACTAGCGGGGCTAATCACTGATCTCCGATGTCTGCTCTAGCACTTTCCATCTTCATCTTCATTATTGTACATTTCCATACCGGATAAACTGTTCTACATCAGATAAATCTCTGACATAACTGAACAACCCTCAGGGCCGGTAGTATAAGACGGTGGTTGCTGGTTAGGTGACCTACCAACGCCCAACTTTTCCCCTATAATTTAAGGGTCACCTCGGCATCTGCTACAATGGTTACCTAACCATCGTCTTATACTACGGGCCCAGGTTGTAACACCCTGGGTAATTCATTATTCAAGCGTTTACTGTACATAATATTGATGAATTTTATGTTGAGAAAACATTAAATTTGTCCAAAACCCGAGAAAATTATTATTTAAAATGTACGTACAGGTACGTATTAATAAAAAGTTCAACGTGTAAATTTTATGTTAAACGTGGAATATTGTTTAAAGCTAAACGTTTGTCATTAAATTTTGGTCATACTTTGTTTAAAGTATATAGTTCAGTTAAAGGTGAGGCGAATTTTGCGGATCCGCTGAATTGCGGACCCTAATTCCGCTGCCTGGTATTTGTGAAAATAAAGCCATACAAAATTCAGCGTTTATCAAGTACTAATCCGAATTACTGGTGTCTAAACTACAACTAAAAGGCAGCTCACCTGTCTCTGCTACCTCACAGTACTCCAATGAGCTGATAGAACGCTCAATGCTCCCACCTATCCGAGGTCAGTCAGAATTCCGATTTCCGAAAATTTAGGCTGATTTCCTACCTTTGTGCTAGTTCCTATTCCCGACAGTTCCGACTTTCGGCCCCCTCGTCATTTCCTATCGAGCTCTGCCGCCTATGTGTTTAAATCTATTTCCGGAAGTTTAGCGCCACGTCGGATTAAAAAATTAAATAAAATTTTTTAATTACAAACTACTAAAGTATTTAAATTTTTTCTGACATCCGCTAACTTATAAAATTTCTTCGTTTCCGGTTTTAGTCAAATTTGCCAACACCAATAATCCTGTGTTAATGCATTAAATTTAAAAATTTATCTTATAGAATTATAAGATTTATTATAAAATTGTCGACTGAACAAACACACTTCAAACTAAATGTTTCATAATGCCAAAAGAATATTTTAAATTCTTGAGTACTATTTAAGCCGATAAGATAGCTTCAGTTTCATTCATTTAACAAGCCCTCAAAGATAGTATTTAAGCCAAAAAATGTTTACTCTTCTTTTATTGTTGTCATTATTCTTATCATGCAACGCGGCTCCTCCTTTTGGGCAGTTATCTGTGAAAGGTATTTATTTTCACATTTAAATAACCTTTATTGAGATAAAAAATCCCTACTTTCAGGCAATAAATTGTTGGGCAGTAATGGTCAACCAGCTCAGCTTGCTGGAATGTCTCTCTTCTGGTCTAACTGTGATGAAGGCAAAATCTTTTACAACGAAGAAACTTTGCGTCAACTCAAATGCGCGTGGAATGCTAATGCTGTCAGAGCGGCAATGGGTGTAGAATCTACTGGGTGTGGAAAGCCGGGTTATCTGGATCTTCCAAATGTTGAGCGTGATAAGGTTGAGGCTGTCGTTCAGGCTGCTATTAAATTGGATATGTATGCTGTTGTTGACTATCACACGGAGCAGGCACAAAACTCGCTGGCTAGAGCGGTAGGCGTTTAAATTATAGGACTTTAAGGAAACATTGAGGTCCATGAGTAGAAAGGATTGAGGTCCATTTCTAAGAATGTGGCTTGGATCGTATATAGTCAGTACTAGGGTTATCGTTTAGCAGCTTATCCTACCTAATAACTAACCAAAATTCAAAAATGGTCTTGAAAGTTTAAATGTTTGTGGCCGTACTGAAGTCCGGTTGTAGTCATTGTTTCACGCATTGGTTTATGGGATATCTGTCTAGCCATTAGGCTCTTCTTAGTAAACAGGAAAACATAATCACTCCCTCTCAGTTCCTGGAACTTTTTTTTTTCTTAGCATACACCGATTAGTCGTGATATTTATAGATGTGGAATCAATTTCCACGCCTCTAACTCACACATAACATTTTCAGAAAGAATTCTTCACTTATTTTGCTTCTAAATATGGAAAATACCCAAACATCATCTATGAGCCATTCAATGAACCTACGTGTGACTGGAAGACTGCTAAGGCTTATCACGAGCAAATTGTGGCAACAATCCGACAATATGATAAAAATAATATGATCACTCTTGGCACTTCCACATGGTCACAAGATGTTGATATTGCTTCTAGAGACCCTGTAAATGGAGCAAATCTGTGCTACACTTTACACATCTATGCAGCTACTCACAAGCAAAATATACGGGATAAAGCTCAAACTGCTTTAAATAATGTATAGTTTATTGCATAATATCGTATGACAATAGTCAGGGCTTTGACATGCTGTAGTCTCTGAGTATACCAACCCATTTTATCAACACTCGGGAATATAATATCAGAAGGAGCATAGTATGTATCCCTCTATATAACTCCAATGGACTCAACTTTTTAGCGCCGCAGGCGAGAATTTTGCAAATAAAACTTTCGGTTCCGGATATCCGAACTCTTCAATTCTGATATAGGATACGAATATCCGAAGATTTTCAACTATCCGACATCCTTACTCATAAAGGGAGCGACTTTTATTTAACCTCAGCATCACCCTATTATTGGCCCATTCATTCGCCGTTCACTCCATTTATTCGCAAGCCAACAATAACCCTATCCTACTGTGTACAAGGACCAAGCTACCGTTAACTTCCACAAACGCGTTTCGCAAAATCCAGCGCAAGTCTAACTAACTCTTATAGGTTTACAGTTCCATTTTACCTCGCGAATAAGGTGTGCAGACATAAACTAGACAAGTTCCAGATTTATAATACAGAGCGCCGAAGAAAGCAGGGTTCCAAAAAGTTCGGAGCCAGAGTCAACAAATGTCCAATACCCCTAGCACTAATATTTAAAATTAAACTTTTAATTTTCAATAATCTAATTCTAAAATTATAGAATGTTTGCATTTTTGTATCTGAATATGGAACTGTTGATGCAAGTGGCGGGGGAAATATGGATACTGGATCTATGAATGAGTGGTGGAATTTCTGGGATAAAAACAAAATTTCATATCTAAACTGGGCAGTTGATAATAAAGGAGAAGGATCTGCAGCTCTTAATCCGAATACTGTTGCATCGGATGTAGGCAATCCTTCTCATTGGTCAGCATCTGGAAAATTTGTTCAGGCTCATCTTAAAAACATGAATAATGGTTGGTATCGATTTATTCTTGAAGCTATACACACGCCGAGTTTTGGAAACAAAAGTCGTCCTATTGCTGCCAATAGGATGACAAGCCAAACAATAGTCGTCCTCCACCTTCAATGGAGGGATTTGTAATTTGGAACCCAATTGGTTGATCAGTCCTAATCACAACTCTCGGATACCGAATCGAGACTCAATAACCGAGAGCGAGACTCGGGACTTAAACTCGAGACCGAGACAAGACTCTGGAACCGACATCGAGACTCAAGGACCGAAATCGAGACTCGGGAACCAAAATTGGGACTCCAAAATCGAGACTGGATCGAGACTCGGGAACCGAGATCGAGACTCGAGAACCAAAATCGAAGCTTTGGAACCGAGGTCGAAACTCCGAAATCGAGACTAGATCGAAACTCGGGAAAGATCGAGACTCGAGGACCAAGAATTAAGTGAAACCGAGACTTGAGAAATCGAGACCTAAAACCCCGAGAAAAATCTCAGATCGAGACCCAGATCGAGAATCTCGAGTATCACTAATATACTTTAATTTAAAGGTGTCAGTTGCAGTGGAGGCACGCCAAACAATGCTGCTCCTTCTCCTTCAAACAACAATAACAATAACAATAATGGGGCACCAAGCAGAAACAACGGGGGAACTACCCTCAAGAAAAATGGAACTAAAACGGACACGAATAAAAATAATTCCAAAGGAGGAGGGAAAATCTCCATAAGTTTAAACGCCGATCAAACCTGGCCAAATGGTGCAAACTACAAAATTATAGTGAAAAATACTGGAAGTGCTCCAGTCTGCTCTGTAACGTTCCAAGTAGCCCCGGTTGCTAAAGTTGGTTTTTGATTGATTAATTCAGTTGGACCTCGTTTTCATATAAAGTTGGACCTCGTCTTGAGTTCCCCTTGGATCTTATCTAAAAGCGAGGGTTTTCAAAATTCGGGGATATTCAAAAACGGAGTCCGCTGACCTCTTTTGTGCGAAAACTCCTTACCTTATACTGGGTTATACTCTTAATTTGGGGTATTTAATATGGGCAATACTGTACAAATCTACATGGAAAACGATCCTTATAGAGGGCATTTAAAATTGGGGTGTATCACTTAGATGGTTAATTCTTTCAGTCGTAGCTTAAATTGAGGTTTTTTATAGTGAGGTCCTACTTATAAACACAATATTGAGTAAAGCATACACATGGCGCAGTACATATAGTTGTACGGGCCAACCCAGATGATCATCTCCAGTAGATCAACTTCCAAGCTCACTTTTGATCAAATGACCCTAAAGGTTAACTACTAAAAGAGCAGTTACCCTGAGATCAACTCCAAGGATTTATGACTATTAAAGGCTGTGTGTTGACTTACTGGCAGTTAACATTCTGGAGTGGATCTTTTGTGCAGCCTATTAATGCCAATAAATCAATAAAATTTTAAAAATCATTTTAGCAATCAATCAACGTTTGGAACGCCAACAACCTTTCTGGAGGAAAATATTCAATTTCTAATGTAAAAATAAATGCTGGAGGAACTTATAATAATGTAGGGATGGGCGTTTCTGGCTCGAGTTCGGCGCCTAAAATTACTTTAGTAGGCAGTGGAAATTGTTGATAATTTGAGAGGGACGTTGTGGAAAGAAGAGAAACTTGAGCTGAAAATTTTTTAAAAATTTTTTAAGAAAATATTTTTGTAATTCTGTTAATCCCTTAGAAAATTTTATTAATTAGTAGTACTTTTTCTGTCCAAAAATAAATAAAAATTTTGGTTAAATTCTATTTGGCGAGTCGTACATTGCGTCTATTTCGTGTTTAATTTTATTTATCTAATTAAAAAATATTAATTAACCATAAAAAGGTTCGAACCCGAGCCCGATTTTTAAACGATTTTGTAGTTAGTGCTCTTATCCACTCGAATTTTTCACTCGAAAAAACAGCTCTTGGTCCCCCTTATGGTTTTCACTTTTCAGAGGCCTGTACCTCGACCCAATGTTGAGACCGCAGGCTAATTTGGTGAACTTCAAATGAACGTTGCGTCTAGCACTCCAAAAGAACGTTGACGTCTAGCACTCAAGAGGACACAGGACTCCGGCAAAAGTTGACGTAGAACAAAGCACAGTACGTTTAGAAGTGTTGAAAGCAGTTGAGGAATGACCAAAATAGCCTGCTTTTATACTATCTTCTTACCCTTACAACCTAATTCAACAGGCAACGCTTTACTATAAAAACCCCAATTTTCTCACTCCCCAAATCATTTTACTATAAAAACCCACTTGTCTACTAAAGGACAAACAAAGAAGACTGCTGTTTCAGGTGATGTTTCAACCCGTATTTTAACAGGTCGAAAGTGATAACAGAAGAATAAAAAAGATGGAATTCGAAGGAGGACGGAAGTAATTGTTAAAAAGATATTTTTTGCCCCCTTTTTTTCAAGGGAACTCGCAAGTGAAAATTTTTATTTTTCAAGTTGGCCATGAAGCCGAAAGCAATTTATATACAATATAAACAATCAACAATTTACATACATACAATATCTATATACAATCACAAAAATATATATCAACATTATTATTAGCATCCTTCATTATTAGCATTTGATCCTGTTTGAGGCATCGAAGACGTCATTGTGAGAGCTCTGAATCGGAGCTCGCTCCGTTCTGAAGAGCGAGACGTCTTCCCCAGTGACAGGCAAAGTCTGCAAAATAAAAATTTTTTCTTCAAAAAAAATTTCAAAAAAAAAATCAGCACCATATGGTCGATCATCCACCAAGTAGTAGTTTCCGCCTTCCAGTGGACGAGAACATCCTTCACAGCGAAAGCATTGCGGGTGCCAGTAGTTGTCCAAAGCGAAGTAGAACTCCCCAGCCAGGAGTTGTTGGCAAGTCTCGAGGGCGCATCTTGGATTGCTGCGCTTAGCATGGCATTCAAGGCAGTAGTGACGGTCCTCGAACAGCTAAAAAAAACTTTTGTTTATTGAAAATTTAAATCAAATTTGAATTATTTCTTGCCTGATAGTTGGCATCCAATTGGCGGCGGCAATCAGGTGTGGCGCAACGGAAGTGTTCACGATGCCCGCAAAACGAGAAAAAAAGATTTTTTTGGACAAAAAACAAAATGAGAGACATACCAAAGCTGCCCCAGAGCGAAGATTTTAGGCTGGTTTCCGACCTCCTCCAAGCATTCGGGACAAGTTGCGCGCGAAGCCTGAGCCATTGATAGTTGACAATGAAGACGGCTTTGGTGATCAGTGGTGAATGTAGATTGATTAATTTAATAGGTAGGGAAGTAGGCTTTTTATAGTAAATTTAGTTGGACTTCCTATTGTGTATGGGCGTCAGCCCATAAAGTGTTTAGTATAAAAGCCCAGCCAATAGTTAGTTCGCGCTCCCAGTTTTAGTTCTTCTTCCTACAACCTTCGTCTGCTTTGTATTTCTTTGTGCGATAAACGTTTCTGTTAGCTTCGTCTTCGTAAGCGGGTCATTTGGCGCGACTTACACTTTACGAGGAAAGGTTTCTTGGATGTCGTTTTAATGTGAGCTAGTGAGATACATTGAGTCAAATTACCTTGGAGCCCAAATGTAAAATCTAACCATAAAAATGATCATGGGAATTGTTGTGTATGGGCGTCAGCCCTTAAAGTGTTTACTATAAAAGCCAGTGAAAGCGTCAGTCTAGTTGGATCATACTAGCGGGGCTAGTCACTGATCTCCTTCGTCTGTCCCGTTCCCTTCGCCTACACATTGTACATTTCTACACGTGATAAATTGTTATTGTTGTGTTAGTTGACATTAGTTAAACCTCGGACATCTCGGGTCGTAACAGGAACTATCATCTTCGAGCTTCCCAAATCACCAAAAGGGGGTATGGCTTCTCAAAAATAGGGAATAAAGGGTTCGACCCTGTTCTGTATCGAAAGAGTTGATAGAACTGTGACAACAAAATTAGGGCGCCTGCGGTCTCAATTATGGCGGCCCCATTCGTTTGACATATACATAGCAGGGGTGTGCCGAAACAGATTTTAAAAAGCGAAAGACGAAAGGCGAAAGTCGATTTAAAAAGCGAAAGACTAAAGACGAAAGACGAAACACCAAAAAAGACGAAAATAAGGCGAAAGACGAAACGGCACACCCCTGATACATAGCATGTCTCAAAATTAAAAACTCAACGAAATTATAGTTTAGCCTAAAACCCTGCTATAAATTAAGATTATTTGGGGTCGTTTTAGTATATGCCCACCGAGATCGAAATTTGTGATATACACTCCGTTCCAAAAGTATATAGCCACCCAATTTTTTTCTAAATCTCCAGCTAGTTCAATTTTTAAATGGGTTATGATTAATTTGAAATATTTTTTAGACCCATTTTAAGGATCTGATAATGTTATTTTATGCGTTATGAAAATATACGAATAGAAATTAGGGGATATTTGACTTTACCCAAAATTAATGCGTTCCAAAAGTATATAGCCACACTTGTTTTATAGGGTTCTAATAATGGAAAAAATCCACAAAAATTTTTGTGAACATATCTATCAATATAGATAAGAAATACAAAAGAAATGAAGTTCTGATGTACTTCCATCATCGAGATATTGAAACCAGAAAATCAACGGAAAACAGAGGGTAGACGTATTTAAAAAATATTTTCGACCCCTTACAGGTAAAATAAAAATTTCATTTTAGGCTTAGTTGAAAGCCCTTGAAATTTGCTACAAGAAAGTTTTCATCTCATAATCTAGAAAAAATTCATCCTTGAGAAATAATGAGTTTAGTTTATAAGTTACATTTTTATCACTTTTTTGGAGTGCGTTTGAGTGATTTCTATGACCTGAAAGTTTATCACATTAGGTCTTACAGTTAAATTTTTTCGGAAAATAAAATTAATACTTTCTTGTAGCAAATTTCAAGGGCTTTCAAATAAGCCCAAAATGAAATTTTTATTTCATTTGTAAGAGGTCGAAAATATTTTTTAAATACGTCTACCCTCTGTTTTCCGTTGATTTTCTGGTTTCAATATCTCGATGATGGAAGTACATCAGAACTTCATTTCTTTTGTATTTCTTATCTATATTGATAGATATGTTCACAAAAATTTTTGTGGATTTTTTCCATTATTAGAACCCTATAAAACAAGTGTGGCTATATACTTTTGGAACGCATTAATTTTGGGTAAAGTCAAATATCCCCTAATTTCTATTCGTATATTTTCATAACGCATAAAATAACATTATCAGATCCTTAAAATGGGTCTAAAAAATATTTCAAATTAATCATAACCCATTTAAAAATTGAATTAGCTGGAGATTTAGAAAAAAATTGGGTGGCTATATACTTTTGGAACGGAGTGTATACCATTCGATTCGGCTCGCCGAGCTGACGAACCCCCTATGGTTTTTCGATTTTCGGGAGCTCTGCGAGTTTTCGTCTCCGGCAGAAAATTCTTGCATATTTGAACTCAGCTCGGCGAGACGAATCGAATGGTATATACCACGAGTTTCGATCTCGGTGGGCATATACTTAAGCGACCCCAATCAAGATTATTTTATTTAATTATTTTTCAACAATTTTTATTTTGTTTTACTTAACATTAACAATCTTAAAACACCCAAAAAAAGAACAAAAAAATTTTTGTTTAGTCAACAATATTCTCTTAAAATTTTCATCCCTTCTTCTCAGTCAAAGTTTGATGACATTTGCCACAATAATGTCTATCCTTGTGTTTAGCCATAAAAATCCCAGCACCACAAGTGGCAGAATTACATTCAATACGTTGACGTTGAATTTGACCGTTGTCATCAATCTGGGGGAAAAAAATTATTTTTGAAAATTTTAAGGATCTGGTTTAGATTATGAGTCCATTATAGTGATTGAGATGTTTGAAAAGCCTGGACCTTTTCCTGGACTATGGAGTTCGATTTATTGACCTGGGCCGGATCCTGTGCACGTAGTCCAGGAAAAACCACAGGAAAGTCAAAAAAATGCCTGGGCCTGGACTCTGGGTACAGGAAAGACCCAGGCCTTACAAGGGAACATTCCGAACTGTGACCAAAAATTTTTTTATAAAAATTATACCATCGTGTAGAGCATGGTCGATAGCCTATCCCTATATATTTCTTTTTTGGCCCTGACCCCCATTTCGAAAAGTTATAGGGCTTCAAAGTTTCCGACTTTTGGAGCGGTTGAGTCGCCCCCACTTTTCTTATTATTTGTCTTCCTCAAGGGAAAAATGAGACTCCTTTTCTCCATTTTTCCTTTCCTTTTCTTCTCCCATGTTGGTTAAAGAAAGAGAAAAAGAGGAGAGGAAAGAAAAGGAAAAGAGAATCTCTGCCTCCTCCTCTTTCCTTTTTAATTGACATTAGCCGCAAGGCAGGGGCGCCTCTTTTCCTTTTCTTTCCTCTCCTCTTTTTCTCTTTCTTTAACCAACATGGGAGAAGAAAAGGAAAGGAAAAATGGAGAAAAGGAGTCTCATTTTTCCCTTGAGGAAGACAAATAATAAGAAAAGTGGGGGCGACTCAACCGCTCCAAAAGTCGGAAACTTTGAAGCCCTATAACTTTTCGAAATGGGGGTCAGGGCCAAAAAAGAAATATATAGGGATAGGCTATCGACCATGCTCTACACGATGGTATAATTTTTATAAAAAAATTTTTGGTCACAGTTCGGAATGTTCCCTTGTTAGTCCAGGACTAGCTCGATCATTAGAGTCCATTGAAGCTTTTTCGAGTCCAACAAAGCCTCATGAGTCCTGTCAAAGTTTATGAGTCCAAAAAACATCTGTGAGACCAACGAGGATTTTATTAGACCCATAAACTTTTGTATGGACTCAAAACAGTTTATAGGACACATAAGGCTTCAGTAAACTTGTAAACATTCATAGGACTCATAAACGAGATCAGAGCCAAAAAAAAATTCCATTTTTATACAAAATTTCTGGTCAGTTCTCGTTAAAAATCTTATTAAAAAACGTAACCCCACATGGATCAATACACTTAAAAGCTTTGCCTAACTTTGGAAAAGTAAGAACTTGGCTTCCTAGCTGCCACGTATCAAGGGAAGAGGGCAAACGTTATAACAAAAACTTTGATTTCTTGGCTACATTTCCCCGAAAGTTTATTTTGGCTGAATGTGGATTCTTACTCACTTCTAGAAACGCCCCAAAAATATTCAAAAATCCTCAAAATCCTTGGCTTCCGATCTGCCACGTAATCAAAGAAATGTGGGAATATATTGTAATAAAAACTTTGAACTTTTTGGCTATATTAACCGAAAGTTTTTAACAAGCATTGACCAGAATTGTGGATATTAATGTCCTACACCCTTCCAGAAACCCCCGAAAATCCTAAAAATCACAAATCAAAATAAAAACCTTATAAAGCTTGAGAACAGCCAATTTAACCTTCTTGCGAACATGCTTCTGTTTTTTAGGTCCAGTGTACTGCTTCTTCTTACGCTTCTTACCACCACCAAGCAAGCTGAAAAAATATAGAAAAATTGGTGAAATTTCAGAGATTTTTATTTTTGCGGACATTTCTTGCGGACAATTTTTGCGGACAAAATTGAAAATAACTCAGAGGCCCTGTCTTGGTGTCTGGATAATTTAGCTAAGAACCTATGAAACACAAAATTGTTTAGGTCCCAACTCTAGATAGGAAACTGCGTGTTAACCCAGAAGCTTTGGATTAGAACTGTTCCTATGTGAGCGAACTAAAGAGAGGTTTTTGAAAAACCTGTGTCTGTTCCTGGACTCTGGAGTTTGATTTATTGACCTGGGCCGTATCCTGTCCAGGAAAAATCCAGGAAAGCCAAAAAATGCCTGAACTCTGGATACAGGAAAAACTCAGGCCTTGGTCTAGTCCCAGCTCGATCTCTTGACTGAACTCAATTCAGGTTCTAATTGACTAAGACATTTTCCTCGTCAGATATAACAAAGAATGGACACATTATGTGACCTTGTTGAGAAGGAAAAATGAAGAGCTCCTTAACAACCTCTACCCTTCCCACAGTCAGTAAGGAAACTGAACGTTTCGCCCATGTCTGGGAATGCACAGACCAGTCATTCTAATGTCCAAAAATTAAAGCTTGGCCCATGTAGGGGGTCTAGAGACTGAGCTGGCCTGGACCAAGGCCTGGGATTTCATGTACCCAGAGTCCAGGCCCAGCCAGTTTTTGGCCTTCCTGGGTTTTTACCTAGACAGGGTTTTTCCTGGACTAAAGGCCCAGGAACCGACCCAGGTCAATAAATCAAACCCGGAACCCATAAGCAGGCCCAGGCCTTTCAAAAATCCTAATCTCCACCATGCAGGGTCCCTACCCGGAAACCACAGTTAAGTTCCCCAACTTAAAAACATAAAGTGTAAACCTAAGCGACAGATGAACAGTCGAATGTTCCTCCAACTTGTAATCAGCCAAAGTGTTTCCATCTTGGAGCTGTACACCAGCGCAAATCTTTAAAACAAAAAATTGAGTAAAAAGGAAGAAAAAAGTCTAAAAAATAAACCAAGCGTTGCTCCTCTACGGGAGTATTCTCCAAATTTTGAATTTTCGATTTGACATGTTCAACGGTATCGGAAGCGTCAACATCGAAGATTAGAGTCTTCCCATCGAGAGTTTTCACAAATAGTTGCATGATTATTTCTATCTGTTTTGAGAAAATTGAACAGTAGAGATCGAAAGAGACGGGTTCAGTTCATTTTTAATGGGTTGGGGGTCATTTTGGCGCAAGGATTTGTCCGAACCATTTTTGTAAGACCGCGTTTTGCCCCTCACCCCATCATTTAATTCAATGGAAGATCCAACCGGAGTACCGAAATTTGGTCCATTAAACTGGGCCTGAATCACGAAAAACAAAGGGCCAGGAGATTCGTGGATCTACCCCCCACTAAGAACTCCGCTATGACTTGGAAGAAAAACTCCGCTATGACCACAGTCACAAAATCCCATTGGAATAGGGTTGTCGGTTTCGCCAGTTATTAAGGTCACCAATAGGCAAAATTTCGCAAGAACAAACCGAAACCTTTTGGATAATCGAAAACAGAACCAAAACTAGTTTACGGAACAAAGACAGAAAATTTCGGTTGAAACCGACAACCTTACCCACAGAAACGCAAGGGAATAGTCCCTAGAAACCCTCGTAACTCAGTCAATACCAATTTCGATCTCTACTAAACAAAAGACGTCAAAAATTCCCCTAAAAATCTTAACAAAATACCAAAAATTTTACTACAAAAATAAAAATTGCCCTTAGAAGACTAGCCCATATTTAGCCAAAACCATATTTTGCCAATAAGGCTGAAACCTCACTTTTTGTCAACACTGCCTTTTGACAAAACACAAGTTCTTAGCCTTATTGGCAAAATGTGTATTGGCAGAATATGGTAGACTTGTTAAAAATCGTAAAGAAAATGGTAAACTGAAATAGTAGAGAAAATGAGTGAGAGTACAAAAGAAATATACTAAAATTGAGATTTTGAAAGCTCTCTCAGAATTATTGTTGAAATGGTAATTACAAAATGTATACTCTAAAAATATCTAAAAATTAATAATGTCTCGACAAAATAGTACAACGGGTAAAATACGACAAAATGATACTAAACAAAATGGTGCTATCAACAAAAAATGCCAATTTGTAGCAGGGAATTTGTTAGAATGGGACAGCCCAAGTAGGCGTAAAGCCATAACGGCGCAAAGCCATAACTTGCTTCAAGTTATCCGAATCTTACCAAATTTGGTATCAAACGATTCCTCTCATCGAGCTAAAGAGATCGTTACCAAAATTGATAAGGGCCAGAAATTTTCTAGCAAGTTATGGCTTCGCGCCGTTATGGCCGCGCGCCGACTTGGGCGTGTCCCTGTGAAAATCACTCTTAAAAATCAAAAATTTCTCAGTATTCTTTTGTAATCTTCTGTTGAGTGCTGCGCACTAGACGGGTAGCTAAATTTTCATAGCGAGAAAGCACTTCACGAAGTTGAGTCAGCTTTTAAAAATTCAGTCATTAATTGGTCCAATTTTTGTTTAGTACCTGTGAGCTTCTCCGTTCAAATTCCTTTTTTGTATTTTCCATTGCGATCTTTGCATTTTCTGCCTGATTTAAACACTGCTCTAAATGTTCAGCCTCTTCTCTAGAAAGATTAATCATATGATAACCTGGGCTATTGTTCTTTCAATTGAAGCCCTCTTTCTAATAAACGCCCACTCTCTAATAAACGCCTGTTCTTCCGTTAAGCGCCGTTACTCTAATAAACGCCCACTTTCTAATAAGCGCCCACTTTCTAGTAAACGCTCACTCTCTAATAAACGCCCATTCTCTAATAAACACCTACTCCCTAATAAACGCTCACTCTCTAATAAACGCCCACTCCCTAATAAACGCTTCACTCTCTAATAAACACCTGTTCTCCGTTAAGCGCCGTCACTCTTATAAACGCCTTACTCTAATAAGCGCCCACTCTCTAATAAACGCCTACTTTCTAGTAAACGCTCACTCTCTAATAAACGCCCATTCTCTAATAAACACCTACTCTCTAATAAACGCCTACTCTCCATTAAGCGCCGTCACTCTAATAAACGCCCACTCTCTAATAAACGCCGTCTCTCTAATAAACGCCTCACTCTAATAACCACCTACTCCCTAATAAACGCCCACTCTCTAATAGAAGCCTATTCTCTATAACCACCTACTCTCTATTAAACGCCTTACTCTAATAAGCGCCCACTCTCTAATAAACGCCTACTTATTAGTAAACGCCGACTCTTCATAACCACCTACTCCCTAATAAACGCCCACTCTCTAATAAACGCCTGTTCTCCGCTAAGCGCCGTCATTTTAATAAACGCTTCACTCTAATAAGAGCCTACTCTCTAATAGACGCCCGCTTATTATGAAAGCCTTTTTTATAACCACCTACTCCCTATAAACGCCCACTCTCTAATAGAAGCCCACTTTCCAATAGAAGCCTAAACAAACTGGCATATCGAATATAGAGCCCCGGGGCTTCAATTTGAATATTAACAGTACTTTAATCGAAAAACATCGGCATCCCTCTGTTGTCGAAATTCCCTCTTTTCAATTTCAAGCAAAGCCCTTTCATTGAGAATCCTTGCCAAAAGATCGTGTTCTCGCCGTAAAAATTCTGCCTTATCCACCTCTAATTGTTCTTTAGCCTTTTCAATCCATTCGAGTAACTGAGTTTGTTCTTCTTGAAAAGCTCGCCTTTCAATTTGGCCAACTTCGCGTTGTTCTTCCAACCATTTCCTGCCTTCAACTATTTCCTTAAAAATTAAAGAGAATTTAGCGTGAACTTAGAAATTTGCCCATCCCCCATTCCAACTCCCCCCTTCTCCCACCCAAAATTTGAGGACCCAAGCTTTAAGAGGGGGACATACACTTTGAGAACCAGTTCATTCGATTCACCTTAGTCATTCGATTAATGGTGAATCTTCGCCATATTGATCACTCGATCGTAGCTGCAATCGAATAGTAACTACGGTAGGGGACACTTCAGTCCCGGGACGTTTCAGTCCCGAGCTCTATAATTCGAGAAGGTTCGAGTAGTTTTTGGAACTCTTGGTATCGTTGGATAGAGGATTAATTAAGCTACAAAATAAGCTAGTTATCGAAAAATTTGATCGACAGGTCCCAAAGTTATGATCAAAAAACATGCAAAAAAATGACTTATTTTAAAAATGGCGGTTTTTTGATTATAACTTCATTATCAGTTGATAAGATTATTTTATCTTTGATATCATTTTGTAGAGAATTTAATCCTCTATCCAATGATACTAAAAGTTCAGTAAATTATTTCCAAATTCCCGAGTTACAAGCTCGGGACTGAAACGACCAGGGACTGAAGTGGGACGTTCCGAGTAAACCAGCCTTTTGATAAGATTCTCTCATTTGATCCATCTCCTTCTCCATTGTCCTTATAGAATTCTCCAGCCTCTCTCTTTCTTCGTCTAAACGTTTCCAATGCTCTAATTGCTGTTCATGCCATTCCTTTGCCATTTTATTGTTGCTTTCATTAACATTTGCTACTAAATCCCTCACTTGAACCAACCCAAAATTTAGGCCTTCCAATCGTGTAGCCATTGAGTCGAAATGTCTATAAAGTATTGATCCAAAAAGGCTCGAGATTGATTAAGCCTCTAAGGCTCTCCTATCGCTAATAGCGTTAGACAGGGTGGAAAGCGCTTTATTCAGTGCTGTAAAGAAGGAGGAAATCCCGTCACGTATGTTTGAGCTCACTAAGCAGAAGGATGTCGGATCTAGATCCGAAAAAGACCGGATATCCGGAAATTTTCGGTTCGGATACCGGATCCTGATATCCGAAGATTTCCAACCGTCCGGCAGCCTTACTAGACAGGAAGGAGTTTATGCTCTATTAAAGGAGAGAAGGTGACTCTTGATAGCTCAGTCAGTACCTGGTGTATAATATTTAACTTCCAGTACAATATCTAATAGAAGTCCATGCCATATTAAAAGCCTAACAACCCCATAACTTCCAAGATTTGCAGAACTTACCAGATTTGCTTGTCGTTGGTTAAACTTTTATCTATCTTACTGTACAGATTATTAATGTAACAACTAAGCTTTGTAGTACATAGAGTGGGAGGGGTACTGCGTTACTTGAATTATTGAGATCATACTAAGGTTGCGGATCCGATATCCGGACCGAGATTTTCGGATATCCAGTCGTTTTTCCGGATTGGATACGCCAACCTCCAGGCTTCTTATATCTTGTCCCCAGGCGTTTTGTAGTATGTTGCCGAGGCGCTTGATCAACCCCTTATCTTTTCTCAAATTTACCCTTGTTGTTCTCTAATGCTGTTTAACATCTGTGCACTTCTATCCGCTTCTCGACGAGCTTCTTCCTTTTCACGTTCATTCCTTCTAGTTAATTCCTGCAATTCTATCTTGGTTTCTTCTCTTATTCGCTCATTGCTGCGTTTGTGTTCACTTTGTTCTGTTTCGAGTTTCCGCCTTAACTCGCTTATTGTTTGTTGGTCTTCAGAATGTTCGTAACGCAATGAGCTTACTTCTCTTGAGAATAGAAAGAATGAGTTTAAGGGAAGTTTCTGTGGTTGTTTTTGGAATAAAGACGAACATCATATATTGTAGGATGTTCGCCTAGAGCAGTTAAAATGCTTAGGCGGGTGTTAAACGATCTAAAAGGATAAAAGAGAAGCATTAGTCATTGCCCCGGTAGTTCAGTGATAGAGATAACAGTAAAGAGGTCGCAGGTTAATCCTGCCCGGTGGCTAAACTTTTGCTAAACTCCTTCTATATGGAGTCAGATCAATAAGCCTCCGGATATCCACCTATGTTATATCCGCTGTATATATCCAGATACGGATGACAAAATCCGTATCCATGAGCAGGCCTGCCTCAAACACTATATAATTGGGCTCGACCCAAATCCGGGACTACGACCATTTTGACTATAACCCCGACCCAGATACAAATTTCAACCCGACCCTGAACTATTTTTTCGACCCGACCCGGATATTCGAACCCCAACCCTAACATTTCGACCCAAATGGCGGGGACCAAGTTTACTATATCACTTCTAGATAGGCTACGTATTTTTAAATAGGGCTGGTCACGAGTAGGGTAGCGTATCAGCCCTATTAAGACAGCCTAAATGAGTATCTAGAAATGAGGTTCGCCTTTATAACTCTTATCAATTTTAACTTTGGATTACCTCTTCAATTGGTCCAATTCAGCCTGAATAGCGGCAGATACGCTTATTTGTTGTTGAGATTCTTGGTGTTGTATTGTTGGGGTGGGACGGCTGGGAGGAGGTTGCTCTGCTCTTTGACTGCCGGTTTGAGGACGTGAAGGAGATGGGCCACGTCTAGTTTAAAATAGTTTTGAAATTTGACCTTATGTTCTTCTTAATTGGACCCCTTAAGTTAACTCACTTGCATTCGTGGAACGACATTTGCGGACAAAACTGAAGCCTATAGAAATTGGAACAAGCGGAAAATGGAACTGTCGTTTCCTTGAGAATGTTCACAAATGTCGAATTATTCGCAGGTGTTCCCAAATGTCGTTTAATAAGAAACGTTCGCAAATGTCGTTCACATTAGAAATGTTCGCAAGTGTCGTCCACTAAAAAACGTTCGCAAATGTCGTTCACTTAAGTAATGTTCGCAAATGTCGCTTTACCCAAATGTCCTAATTTAATAAAATTACATTGGGGCAGACGACAATTGAGCAGAACTGCTGGTTGTTGTACCTCCAACTTTTGCACCCCTCCTCTGTTCCCCTGAAGAGCCTCCAGAAAAGAGAGAATCTAACAGAGAAGAAGAAACTGGCTGTGCAGGAGGCTCAGGATTTGGTGGTTGTTGTTCGTCTTGAAAAGTGACTCGAGGCCTTTGTCTTGAAGAACTAGCCAAAATGTCGTCTATTCCGCCAGCTTGCCTCTTAATAAAGGAGTTGAGGATTAAAAGACAGACACAATCGGACCTCAGTAAGATTTGGGTCAAAAATCTACCTTATAATGAGGTGTATATTAAATAGAGGGTATCGCTTATTGTTAGTCAGCTCTCACAGCCTAGCGGGCAATAGATTTTAAAAATGTATCTTAAATAGAGGTTTAGCTAGTATTCTGTGCCCTATAAAGAGGTCTTAGAGGATATCTAGTAGAAAATGCTATCCATTAGATGATTAGAGCTATCGAAGGTAGGGTCGTCAAAGAATCGTGCCTTATGAGGTGTATGATAAATAAGGAGGGATATCTATAAGAGAATAAGTCGTTCACAAAGCTGCTCTAATAAGCCTCTAGGGGTAGTGTAACTAGTATGAGGGGTACTTAACATTGGGGGTATCTTATAGAGGTCTGGACTACTGGTCCAGGCTTTTCAAAAATCTCGATCTCTAATGAGGTGTATATTAAATAGAGGGTATCGCTTTCTCCGCTCTCCTCCTAGAAGTCAATCAAAATTTAAAGAGTATGGCTTCCGCATAGAGATGTATTAAATTGAGGGTAACATCGAGGTATCTTCTAGTGAGGGTATCTTAAATAGGAGGTATCCTATATAGAGGTTGTATCGGCGGCTTTCCTTGCCCAATGAGTCTCTTCGCCCTGAGTATCTTAAATAGAGGCATATTTATTATTGGGCGTATCTTATAAAAAGGATGTCTTATAATGAGGTGTATATTAAATAGAGGGTATCGCTGAGTTGGATCTTTTCTCCGGTTGGTCAACCAAGGTATCTTAATTAGAAATGTATCTAGTATTGAGGGTATCTTATAAAGAGGTTGTATCTTATAATGAGTGTATTTTAAATAGAGGGTATCGCTTTGCCAGCTCTCCCACCCAATGGTCGACCCAATTTTATAAGTCTCTTAAATAGAGGTCTATCTAAGTTTGGGGGTTAGTCTTATATTGAAGCTTTATAGGGACCGGACCGAGACGAGATCTCGATTGAAAATCTCGGTTATCGCGATCGAGAATTTTTCGAGATCTCGATTCTCGTACGGCACTCCTAGTCTGGTCTCTACTTTATAGTGTTTATTTTATAGTGAGATCCGATTATTTAAACCAACCTTTGGTCTATTCGAAAATAAGTCGTTGACAAAACTGCTCCCCGAAGCATTCCCTCCTTCCTGAAAATTATGTGGATAAAAAAGGATTTATAAAGCTCACATCGGGAAGATCAAAATCGTCGTCCATTTTTAAAAGTTTAAAAATGTAAAGGGAAAAGAATGAAAATTGAAATGCTTTAGAGCACTGCCCCTTATATCGGTTGTCTTGACAACGAAACTTTAAAGGCTGGCAATAAAAAGGGGAATTTATGCTTAAAAGGAAAGAGGAAAAAGAAAGAAAAGAGCAATGTGCTTCAGTGGTGCAGTTGGTAGAGCTTCTGCACCTTGGGGAGAGGGGTCGCGGGTTCGAACCTTGTTGTGGTCAAACTTTTTTAATTAATAAAAAAAAGAATGCCTAACAATTAAAAATATTTTTTTTAATTAAAAAAAATTTTTTTTGAAAATGAGGTCCTTTTAAATTTTGTAATTTTAAAACAAAAAATAAAAAGCTATTGTTGTTTTAGTGGTGCAGTTGGTAGCAGGCTGTGCGCCAAAATCGGCTCTGGGTATACGGGCCTAGTTTTTTTTTTATTTTTTTCCTACCAACACTATACATGTCTTTGGTGAAATTTTTGTAGATTTTTCCTAATGTTTGAAATAGGGAAAATCAGTCCGACAATTCACCGACAACCTACCGACAATTCACCGACAACCTTTGTGGAGTACTGTATAACGGAAAAATACCAAAAATTAAAATTTTATTTATTTTTTTAAATAAAATTCTCTTTTTTTATTAAAATATTTACATTTTTCAAATATTTTTTTCCTTCCTACATTTTATTTAAATTAAATACCACACACAATGAGGGGACAAAATTCTTTTTTCCCCTTCATTCCAAATTTCTCCACAAACTTTTTACACGAACAATCATCAACATTCAACAGACTGTCAGTAAATGACTAAAAAATAATTAAACTAGCTAATGAATGAATAAAATTTGTGGTGATTTGGCCAAATCAGTGGTTTGGATCTTTTATTGGGAAAAAAGGCAGTCCGACAATTCACCGACAAGCTACCGACACCCTAGACAATTCACCGACAGGTTACCGACAATTCACCGACAGATTCCGACAACCTACCGATAATTCACCGATAAATCACCGATAAACTTTATGTCTGCTAATCGTAGATAACTTTCAACGGGTAACTTCAACTAAACAATACCTCCTATTTAAATAGCCTCTTTATAAGGTACGCCTTTTCTGAACCAATGGGAGTCGAACCTTTTAATGAGGTTCGTCTGTGTCAACTTTTCGGTGAATTGTCTTAAAGGTATTTTGACCCATATTTTCAATAATACCCCTATTTAAGAAACCCTCATTATAAGGTACGATTTATTTCTGACCCCTTAGGATATGTTATAGGGAGGTTTTGACCTTTAGTCTTGACAATTCACCCTTTTTCGGTGAATTGTCTGTAGGGTATTTTGACCCCCTTTACCGACTGTAATTTGTCGGACGTCATTTTGCCCCCATTGCGAACCTATTGGAGAGAGATAAAAATATTTTTTTAATTTAATAGTGGGAGGAGGAATTAATTAGCGCCACTTTTTTAGTCTATTTAATAGTCCAGAAATTAATTAAAAAATTAATTATTTATTTCCCCCCTAATTTCCTCCTAATTCTCCCTTTAATATTCTTCACTAAAAAAATTTTTTTAAAGTCCAGACTCGGACAACAGATTTTCGGATGCTCATGGCGACGAATAAAGTTGAACTGCATGAGTATTCCAAAATCTGTCATCCGTTTCTGACTAGTTTATTTAACTGACGGTATTTTGTCGGACGGCATTTTGTCCCCATTGAGGATTGGTGCTGGGAGGATTATTAAGGCACCCTTATTATAGGGCTGAAAATCTCGTATATTAAATAGATGTGTACCTTAAATAAAGGGTAAATTGAAATCGTACTCTAAATAGAGGGGTACTTTATAATGGGTTGTACCTTAAATAGAGGGTAAATTTTAAAGTGTATCTTAAGTCGAGGGGTACCCTATAATGAGTCGTACCTTATAACAAGGTGTACCTTAAATAGAGGTATAATGAAATCGTGCCTTATAATGAGATGTACCTTATATAGGGGGTAAATTAAAATTGTATCTTAAATAGAGGGTACTCTATAATTATGTGTATTTTGAAAAGAGGACATCTACTGCACCCCTTACCCAACCTCAATTTTAAAGACGTATCTTTCCTGCTGGGATTCGGGACTGGAATCCGTCGAGAAACTCCGATAGGCCTTTTGTCGTATTGTCTAAATGTCGCTTTGTCTAAATTGTCGTCAAACTTAATTAACGGCCGGGACACGCCCAAGTAGGCGCGCGGCCAAGTAGGCGCAAAGCCATAACTTGCTGGAAAATTTCTGAACCTTATCAATTTTGGTACCAATCTCTTCAGCTCGATGAAAGGAATCGTTTAATATCAAATTTTGAAGGATTCGAAATTTTGAAGCAAGTTATGACTTTGCGCCTACTTGGCCGCGCGCCTACTTGGGCTGTACCCTAAACGGCCAGTTCTACAGTGTTTAATCGACTTTCCTCGAATAAAGGCACTGAAAGGGAAACTAAGAAGAGAAGAAAGCCTTTTTGAGTGCACAACGTTGACTGACTTAATTTTCAGATTTTTTCTAATTTTTTAACGTAAAATTATTTTAGAAAATGCAAGCAGCTAGAAGGTTAATTTCTCTTCGTGAAAATAAATTTTTGTTGGAAAGTAATGCTCAATTGATTTCTTTTCAAAGTTCAAGGCATCTACACATTTGGTTTCCGGATGCTAAATTTACGAGAATGTTCAAGGTTTTGTAGTTAATTGGTTTTTGGCTGTATTTTGGGGTCATAGGGTGGTCGTGGGTTCGAACCCGCTTGCGGTCAACTATTTTTTACGAACCTTAGAAGGCGCGAGTTGACCATTTTAAGCATTTATATTTATTTTTGGACTCGGAAAAATTTTTTACCCCGGAAACTCATCGTTTTAGTCATGTCTGAGTTCATGTGGAGTGAGGTCGTGGGTTCGAACCCCCTTGGGGTAAATTATTTTTTAAGAACTTTCAAAGACAAAGCTAGACCATTTTGAGAATTTTTATTTATTTTTTGGGCTCGGAAAAATTTTTTACCCCGGAAACTCATCGTTTTAGTCATGTCTGAGTTCATGTGGAGTGAGGTCGTGGGTTCGAACCCGCTTGGGGTAAATTATTTTTTAAGAACTTTCAAAGACAAAGCTAGACCATTTTGAGAATTTTTATTTATTTTTTGGGCTCGGAAAAATTTTTTACCCCGGAAACTCATCGTTTTAGTCATGTCTGAGTTCATGTGGAGTGAGGTCGTGGGTTCGAACCCGCTTGGGGTAAATTATTTTTTAAGAACTTTCAAAGACAAAACCAGACCATTTTGAGCATTTTTAGTTAATTTTTGGGCTCGGAAAAATTTTTTTAACCCAGAAAGACATCGTTTCAATCATGTCTGAATTCATGGGAGTGAGGTCGTGGGTTCGAACCCCCTCAGGGTCAATTATTTTTTAAGAACTTTAGAAGGTATAAGTTGACCATTTTGAGCACTTTTACTTATTTCTGACTCTTTGCATTTTATTTTACCTGAAATTCATCGTTTAAATAATATCGACGGTCATGTGGAGGTGGTCGTGGGTTCGAACCCGCTTGGGGTAAATTATTTTTTAAGTTGCTTAAAAGGCAAAGCCAGACCATTTCAAGCACTTATATTTATTTTTTTGGACTCGTAAAAATTTTTTACCCCGGAAACGCATCGTTTTAATCATGTCTGAGTTCATGTCGTGGGGGTCGTGGGTTCGAACCCACTCAAGGTCAATCATTTTTTAAGTTGCTTTAAAAGGCAAAACCAGACCATTTTGAGCACTTTTAGTTATTTTTTGGGCTCGGAAAAATTTTTTACCCCGGAAACTCATCGTTTTAATCATGTCTGAGTTCATGTGGAGGGGGTCGTGGGTTCGAACCCGCTCAGGGTCAATTATTTTTTAATTTATAAAAAGGCAAGAGTTGACCATTTTGAGCATTTTTAGTTAATTTTTGGGCTCGACGGATTTTTCCACATTAGAAAACCCAATTCAGAACAGAAAGTATTCTTGACTTAACAAAGTCCGCAAAAATTTGTCCGCAAAAATTTTTTTTTAATTTTTTTAAAAATTTAATCATTTTTAGGCAATTGGTTCTACTCCAAAAGCAGCACATCAAAGTCTTTTTGTATAATTTTTTAATTTATTAATACAGTCGAACCTCACTTTTAAGATACCCCCTTAATTTGGTTGGCCTCTACTTTGGGATTAGGCCCGAAATCTGGATTCGAAATCGATCCTAATTTTTAACTTAACTGGGTCCTTCCCTTTAACGTAAACCTTACTGTAGTTACGGCAGAATACCCCCAAAGTTTGTTTCTAGAAATCTGCCTGGATCAGAAATCTCACGAGTTAATCTCTGATTCAGGTCGGGTCGGGTCTTCAAAATTTTCTTCGGATCTTGTTTCGGGTCGAAAAAAGTCCAGGATCGAGTACTCGTGGCCGTCACTGATCTTGAACCGTCCTCCGTCCCTCGATTCGTCCTTGATTTTTCCTTGAGTCTTGAATCTGTTCAAGGTCTTTAACTAAAATCAGGGGTTCACCCGGTAGGTCAGAACGTGTCACACTACCCAGGAGTTCCTTCTGGGTCTTGAACTTGTGGGTTGATCTCAAATCAAGCTCAAGGTTTTTACGCTGTTTGACTATTTGACTATGACCTTCTGTGTCATCTGAGCACGTGGGTTTGGGTCTTGACCCTTTTGGGTCTTGATTGGTTTCATTGTGGATCACTTGTCATTGGGGTCACACCAAATCAATATATTGACCTTTTAGGGCATTGACCTTTCGGGTATTTACTCGTGACCGGACAGCATCCGTCCGTATTTTTCTCAAGTCCGGATCCCAAATTTCGTGATCTCTGGGTTAAAACCGGACAGGGTTCAGCCGGAAAATCCGGCTGAACCCGGTCTGGCTTAAGTTACAAATCCGGATCCGGAAAGATCGATTTTGCCAGTCACTAGTCTTGACCTTCTAGATCACTTGAATTGAGGTCATGAGGGTCACTTGTCATTGGGGTCACTCCAAGTCATTGTCTTGACTTGGGATCATTGAACACCTGGGTCTTGACCCTTTGGGTTATTGAGGGTTACTTCATTGGGGTCACCTCAGGTCATTGTCCTGACCTTTTGGGTCATTGACCCTTTTGGGTCTTTACCTTCTGGGTTGACCCCAAACTCAAGGTCAAGGTTTTTATGAGGTTTGACTGTGCCACCTCCATTTTTACAAAATTCCCCTCAAAAAAATATTTTTTTCAGCGTGAAGCCGGTTCCGTTGAACGTATGGATCCAGATGATTTAGCCAATCCTAAAGAGGTGTTGGAAGCAATCGATAGAATGAATACCTCCACATGTATTTTTTTTGAATTTTTTAAATTAAAAAAAAATTTTTTTCAAAAGTTGATGGAAATTTTGGCTATCCCAGAGAAAAGAAGATTGACAATATGATTTTAAATTTTGGCCCAAACCATCCGGCAGCTCACGGCGTTCTTCGGCTTATTTTGAAATTGGAAGGAGAGGTTTGTGGTTTTTTTTGGGGTAAAAGTTATGGGGTGGTCTACGACTCTCGGGCTGATCCCACTCCGAGTTTTCCCCCAACGGACCCGCCTTCCCTTTCCCAACCCGTAGGGCAACCTCTTTCTCTCGTTACCCGTACCAGAACATCCCACTCACAGTTTTCCATCCCGTATGGACCCACCCTCCCTTTGTCCACCCGTGGGGGATCCCCTTCCGTTTTTTGCGGTCCTTTCCCAACCCGTGGACGAACCCGTTCCGCTAGTTACCCGTACAAAAGAGAAACCAACAAGGTCGTTGGGGACACGGCGTTTTTCGACTTATTTTGAAATTGGAAGGAGAGGTTTGCTTTTTTAGGGGGTAAAAGCGATGGGTTGGTCTCTGACCTAAAGATCACCTTTGCCGACCGTTTAGCCCCTCCAGTTCCTGACCCGTGAGTATCTTCTTATTTTCCCCGAGTTGTCGAGAACTCCCCGCTCTTCTCCTATCCTCTTACAGCAAAAATTTCGAGAAGCGTACAAGTCAGGGGTAGCCTAAAGATCCACATCGGTACGAAGCGATCTAACTTGGCTTGCCGAGCTAACAATGGGTCGATTCGACTTACCAGTGCTATGTTTTGGGTTTTTGTGGTTCCGGCTCTTGACTTTTTCCAAATCATGGTCAATTTCTTGAGTAGGGTTGGGGTCCCGGTCCGGTCCGAAAGATAGAGTCGGGCATCAAATTTTGACCCGAAAAGGACTCGGTCGGGCCGCCCGAAAAAAATGACTCGAACGTCGGCCCGACTCGAAAACCTCAACCCTAGTCTTGAGAGAGAGTACTGGTACGAGTCGGCTTCAAGGATCTCGGAGTCGTGCAAACACTAGTGAGTCCGCAAGTTTCTCAAAAGTCCGCAAGTTTCATTAACTATTTTATTTTTAGGTAGTCATCAAAGCAGTTCCACACATTGGACTTTTGCATCGTGCAACAGAGAAATTGATTGAATATAAAACATACACGCAAGCTTTGCCTTATTTTGATAGATTGGATTATGTTAGCATGATGTGTAATGAACAGGTTTTTATTTTTAATTTAGAAAAGGTAGCGCCGTAATACCAAACTGGGACAATACATAAGCTAAGCTATGTTCCAATTACCTTGAAGTTGTTCCGAACTATTATGCTTTTAGAAGTCCGCAAATTTCACAGAATGTCCGCAAAGTTTTTTGAAAGTCCGCAAATTTTTGAAAAGTCCGCAAATTTTACTAAAAGTCCGCAAGCTTTCTAAAAGTCCGCAAATTTTCTTAAAAGTCCGCAAGCTTTCTAAAAGTCCGCAAATGTTTTTAGAAATCCGCAAATTTCACAGAATGTCCGCAAATTTTTTTGAAAGTCCGCAAATTTCACAAAATGTCCGCAAGTTTCTTAAAAAGTCCGCAAAGTTTTTTGAAAGTCCGCAAATTTTACTAAAAGTCCGCAAGTTTCTCAAAAAAGTCCGCAAATTTTACTAAAAGTCCGCAAGTTTAATGAAAGTCTCGTTTCCATTGTTTGTCAATTCGGCGGTTTCTTTTTTTTTGGGTTTGGTATTACGGCATCTACCATTTTGTACTAATAATTTTTTTCAATTTTTTAAAGGCCTGGTCTTTAGCAGTCGAAAAATTGTTGGGAATTGATATTCCGCCTAGAGCTAAATGGATCAGAAGTATATTTTTGTTTTTTTTGTGGGTATTTTGGGTTCCCAGAAATGTCCGCAAGTTTTGTCCGCAAACATTGCTATTGATTTTTCTGGGGTATTTTAGGCAATCCTCTCCCCTGGCATCAACCTATGAGGTCAAATGGGTCTCAGGAGGTCAAATGACCTCTAAGGCCGTCCCTATTGATCAAATTACCCGGCAGGTCAAATCCGAATATTTGGGGGTTTTAAAGGAATTTATAGGTATTAAAGGGGATGTCGATGGATTTGAGCGGATTAAGATGGATTTATTGGGATTAAGGGGCATAAGACTGAAATTCTCTCGTGCAACTCTAGGCTAAAGAAAATAGGAGCTGGTAAACGTATTCCTGATCCTGAGTCACATTTACCCGTCCAAATATTTGGAATTGACCTCCTGAGTTGAGGACATTTTTGTAAGCATTAAAAGGGGTTGGGGTTTTCGAGTCGGGCCGACGTTCGAGTCCTTTTTTTCGGGCTTCATTTTTATCGAGTCGGGCATCGAGTCTTTTTCGAGCCAGAATTCTATCCCCGACTTCATCTTTCGGACCGGGCCGAATCGTGCCCTCAACCCTAATTAAAAGGGAAAGAACCTTTTTTGTATTCAATTTTATTTTTATCAATTTTTAGCCCTTTTTGCTGAACTAACTCGAATTCAAAATCACATTATGGGAATAACTACACACGCTTTGGATGTTGGTGCAATGACCCCCTTCTTTTGGATGTTTGAGGAACGTGAAAAATTATTTGAATTTAGTGAGCGTGCAAGTGGGGCAAGAATGCATGCAAATTATATTCGGCCTGGAGGTTTTTTTTGAATAAAATTTTTTTGGTTAAATTAACAAGGGGTTGATTTATGTCTGAAACACCAAAAAAAATTTCGGAACACCCGAGAAAAAAATTTGCGGACAAATTTTGCGGATTCTTTTTAAATCTGCTAAGGCCCTATAAAAACCTATCTAGACTCCCCTTTATTATTCAAATTTAACAAGGGCGTATCCAGGAGTCAAATTTCTAGGGGAAAAGGGAGTCAAATTCCCCTCTTGAAATTCGACTACAGTGGGGTCGTAATTATCCAACGATCGTAATTATCCAAAAAATATGAAAAATGCTGGTGGAGGAGTCTTCGAATGGGTTAATAGACACTTCATATTCAGGGTCAATTTATTCTCGTTTCCAAGATGCCTTTCTTGCAATGGCCTTAGTCCGTATGTAGAAATTTCTAGTAACAAAATGCTCCTATGTACCGCAACATTCTGCTGAACAAAATGATACCTCATAATCGGAAAAAACTAGCACCTTGTTGGAAATTTATCCAAGAATATGCATCCTCCCCCTTGTGGCCCCCAAAATGCCTCTAAGCTTTACCTCAGTCTTTTAAATTCCCTATTGCTTTTTTAATGTCATTTGTGTTTATTTTTACTTAATATTCTATAATTAATAAAAATAAAACCAAAATGTTGGCCTATTTTTATTTTTTCTGTCGAAAACAAAAAGCGGGCATTACTTTTGCACCATGAAAAATTTAGTCAAAATCTTTAAAATTTTCAAAAAATATTTTTTATAATTTTCTCATCCATAAGTTTGTAGTCATATTAAAGCCCATAAAAAACAGTTTATTTTAAGACAAACAAAAAAATTTTTAAAAAGAAAACGAACCGTTTACTAGTTGAAATCAAAAATTTAGATGCAGCGGGCATTACTTTTGCACCCCACTGTACTGGGGCTAGTAGCCCTTGTTAAATTTGAATAACAAAGGGGAATCTAGAAAGGTTTTTATAGGGCCTTTGCAGATTTAAGACGAATCCGCAAAATTTAACCGCAAACCCCCTGGCTACGCCATTGGCTTTTGGAGCTTGTAAAACGACCCATTTTGTCAAGAATTCATATTCGTTGTTACTGCAGCCAACCCTCGTTTTTGAGCACTCATTTGTAGGGAAAGATCGTTTCATATAGGGAGGAGTATTTTAAATTGCGAAAATTTTGCGGACAATTTTTGCGGATTTTTATTGAATTTAATAAAAGTCCGCAAATATTGTCCGCAAAATTTTTGCGGATTTTTATTAATTTTAATAAAAGTCCGCAAATATTGTCCGCAAAATTTTTGCGGATTTTTATTAAATTTGACAAATATCCGCAATAAGTTGCGGACAATTTTTGCGGATTTTTAAAACTAAATTTTTTTAAATAATTTTCAGGAGTTGCCTGGGATATTCCTCTTGGACTTTTGGATGATATTTATGATTGGTGTGTCAAATTTCCTTCACGTATAGATGAACTTGAAGATGTTTTGACAGAGAATAGAATATGGAAGAAGAGAACAAAGGATATTGGGGTTGGTTTTTTTTGATAAATTTTAAGGAAAATCCGCAAGAATCTTGCGGATAATTTTTACATATTTTTATTAAATTTGAGAAAAATCCGCAAATTTTTTTGCTGATAATTTTTGCGATTTTTTTTAATTTTAATAAGCAAAAATCGGATCTTGATTATAGTTGGGAATGTCCGTAAGAATTTTGCGGATTTTAAAATTAAATTGGAAATGTCCATAGGAAATATCTGTAATTTTCAACGGATTTTTATTGTATTTAAATAAGTCCGCAATAATTTTGCGGACTAGTTTTCCGGATTTATTTATATTTGAAAAAGTCCGCAAAAATAGTCCGCATTTAATCCGAAATAATTTTGCGGACAATATTTTGCGGATTTATTAAATTTAATAAAAATCCGCAAAACTTGTCCGCATTTTTTAAATAATTTTGCGGACTATTTTTGCGGATTTTTTAAAATTTTAGAAAAATCCGCAAAATAGTCCGCATTTAATCCGCATTAATTTTGCGGACAAGTTTTGCGGATTTTTTGAATTTTAATAAAAAATCCGCAAAACTTGTCCGCATTTTTTAAATAATTTTTTTTCAGATTGTTAAAGCATCTGACGCTCTGAATTGGGGCTTTTCCGGTGTTATGTTAAGAGGTTCTGGTATAAAATGGGATCTTAGAAAGACGCAGCCTTATGATGCCTATTCTGAAGTTGAATTTGATGTTCCTGTTGGTACGCAGGGCGATTGTTATGATAGGTTTGGATTTTTTAAAATAAATTTCCTATAAGGATTCCGTGTCGGGCTAACTCATGGAAGGACAAGTCACGGAATGACCACAACACGGAATAATTTAAAAATTGGAATTTTTGAAAAATCTGAATATTTTTTAAAAAATGCATGTCTGTTCCGTAATTTGAAATTCCACGAGTTAGCCCTCACCCAAGGATTCCTGGCTAATTGTCGTTTGAACGGAAGAATCCCCGGGAAATTGCGGGCAATTATTGCGATCTTTTAACGTTGAGAAAAGTCCGCAAAAAATGTCCGCAAGTTTATATTTTTTTTTGAATTTCGATTGTTTGGGCTAATTTTGGGCTAACAATAAAATGTAAGGGTTAAGAAAAGAGTAGGATCGAATTTTGGTGATCCGTGGAACATGGGACAGGATATTTTTGGTTCAGGAGTAGGGTTGCCGTTTTCGAACCGGGCCAACGTCTAGTCATTTTTCAGGCCTTATTTTTATCGACTCGGTCCGTTCGAGTCTTTTCTCGGACTCTTTTTTGGGCCAAAATTCGATGCCCGATTCGATTTTTCAAACCAAACCTAGAAGGCAACCCTACTTTTCTTAAATTAGTTTTCGAATTTTGTGGGAATTTTTGCGGATCGAATTTTGCGGATTTTCATAAAGTAAAAAAATGTCCGCAAAAATTTGTCCGCAAGTTTTCTTTAAATTTTTTCGCATTTAAACTGGAGTACCCGACGAATTTTTAAGCAAAAACCCCGACCCGAACCTCGAAGTCTTTACCTCGACAAAACCCGATCTCCAACGCCCACCCCCGCGCGGGCAAAACTCCGACCCCTGCAATTTTTTGGCAAAAACCCCCGACCCGAATTCCGAAGGCTCTACCCCGCTCCCGAGGGCTCGGGGTGCTACCCTACTTTAAACGACATTAAAAATTCTCCCTTATATTAAAATACCAATTCTTTTAAATTAATTCTTTTCTCGCAGATATTTGTGTCGTTTAATGGAAATGCGTGAAAGTCTTCGAATTATTCTTCAATGCTTAAATAAAATGCCTAGAGGCGAGGTTAAAGTTGATGATCAAAAAATTATGCCTCCGAATCGAGCGGAAATGAAGGTTTATTAAATTTTTTAATTTTGAAAAATAAGCACAAGTTTAGAAGAGACGGATCTTTTCAGATTTTTTTGTCCGCAAAAAAAATTTCTGTCCACAAAAAAATTTTTTGTCCGCATAGGCACGTTTCTATTTCATTAGGTCACCTTAAAATATTTTTTTTAAATAATAGACACACCAACTTAGGAAGCTTTATGTTATAAAATTATTTTTTGCGGACTTTTTTGCGGATAAAATAAAATTAGTTTTGTCCGCAAAAAAAATTTCTGCATAGTAAAAATGAGTCTCTTCTTCATAATACTGACATATTTTCGGACATATAAAAAATTTTAAAAAAATTTTGTCCTCAAGAAATGCCGCTAAAATTTTTTTTGTCCGCAAAAAATTTTTTTGTCCGCAAGAAGTGTCCGCAAAATTTTTTTGTCCGCAAAAAATTTACTTTTTAATAAAATTTTAAATTAATTTAAAGGAAAGTATGGAAGCATTAATTCATCATTTCAAATTCTTTACTGAAGGATTTCAAGTTCCGCCTGGTCATGTTTACGTTCCTACAGAGGCGCCTAAAGGGGAATTTGGTGTGTATTTAGTGGCTGATGGAACGAGCAAGCCTTATAGGTTTTTTTTTCTTTTTGAAAAAATTTCTTCAAGGAGGGGGGGGGGGGAAATTTTCAAAAAAAATTTTTTTTTTTAATTTTTTTAATTAAAAAAAATTTTTGTGGTGGTTTGGCATCGAACCTTCATCGCCCATTAAATGCAATTTTAGTGTGTTAACCACTACACCATAGGAAAAAAATGTTTTTAAAGGAAAGGGGGTGAAAAAAATTTTCAAAAAAATTTTTGAAAATTTTTTTGAATTAAAAAAAATTTTTGTGGGGTGTGGAATCGAACCTCCTTCTCCCATTAAGCCTAGTCTAGTGTGTTAACCACTACACCACCGGGCCAGGCTAATTTTAAACAACATAAGCGTTTGTGTGCCAGCCAGCTTTAATCGACTATAACTTTCTTAAGCTCTATTCAATCCGAACAAATCTTATATCATTCGAAAGCCCTCAAAAATCGCTATCTTTTTTCCAACTGGTTGGATCAAGTCTGTTCACTTATTAAAAAGTTATGACTCGTTAAGTGCATTTATTTTGTATTTTTCGAGGTTATCGTCTTCTAACTTTTTAATGGGTGATCAGACTTGCTCCAGCCAATTGGAAGAAAGATAGCGCTAATCAAGAGCTTTCGAACGATATAAGATTTGTTCTGATTGGATGAAAACAGAAAAGGTTATAGTCGTTCAAACTTTGCTGCCACCCCAGTGTCAACCGCCCCCTAACCCACTTAACCACAAAAACAATTTTTTTCCAAATTTTTTTCAAAACTCATTTAGATGCTTTATTCGAGCTCCAGGATTTGCACATTTGGCAAAAATTCATGATATTAGTTATATGCATTTAATTCCTGATTTGGTAGCTATAATTGGAACGTTGGATGTTGTGTTTGGAGAAATTGATAGATAAATAATTTAGAGAAAAAAGCTTGTTTATATTAAATTTATGTATTTGTTTTTTGTCAAAAAAAAATAAATTAGGACTTTAAAAACTATTTTTTGGAAGAAAAGTGTTTTTTATCATTTTGTAATATTTTTTCAGCTAGAGCGACATTTGCGTACAGCGTTAGAAAAACGACATTTGCGTACACCAATAGAATACGACGTTTGTGTACAACGACATTTATGAACAAAGACCTTTCACTAAAACCTATTAACAAGCCGGGATAGTTTTAAAGAGTAAAACACCGGGATAGTACAATATGCTTATGTCACGATAGCGGATATGACCCATATCCGTTTGTGCCAATTTTGGGTCAGTATCCATTTGGTCCAATTTCAATGGCCTTCAGCCTCTCCCCGCAAATGTCGGTCTACGCAACTGTTTAGGCTATTTAAAAATCTTTTTGTTTTCAACTCAGTTCCAGTTCATCCTTTCCAAAATAATATTTGGCTGTAGTGTAGTGTACCGGTGGTAAAAGTTCGGGACGTGACATATGTCATTCGATTCGTCTCGACGAGCTGAGTCGAACGGTACCACTCCCTACTTTAGGAAATAATTCTGGACCGAGTTATAGGTCCCGAAAAATCGAAAAACCAAAGGGGGGACCAAGCACATTTTTGGGGTGAAAAATTCGAATATGCAAATTATACCTCATTTGAAAGAGCTCGTCGAGCTGAGTCGAATGACACCAAAATCAACAAAATCCGACTTGATTTGACAAAGTTATGACCGTTTGTTTTAGCTCCTTACCTATGTCATTTGTGGAGATTTTTGCTGCTACGGAGGCCCCAAATACGTCTAGAGCAAGGGAGATAGGAATAGGTTTATGTTACGAGCCCAGACCCAGCGCCCGTAGACTCCCCGCGAGGCGCGTGCCGCAAAACCCCGCGCGAAGCGCGGGGTTTTGCACAAGCGCCTCGCCGACGCTCCATAGGTTTAGGTTTTTTGTTTTTTGTATCATAACTTTGTCTAATCTTGTTCAATCACGGTGATTTTGATGTCATTCGACTCAGCTTGTCGAGCTCTTTCGAATGAGCTAACATTTGTGGAATCGAATTTTTGACCATAAAATCCCCCCTATGGTTTTTGACCATTTCGGGCCCTATATCTCGACTCAAACTTGTTCAATCAAGCTGATTTTGGTGTCATTCGACTCAGCTCGACGAGCTCTTTCGAATGAGGTATAATTTGCATATTCGAATTTTTCACCCCAAAAATGTGCTTGGTCCCCCCTTTGGTTTTTCGATTTTTCGGGACCTATAACTCGGTCCAGAATTATTTCCTAAAGTAGGGAGTGGTACCGTTCGACTCAGCTCGTCGAGACGAATCGAATGACATATGTCACGTCCCGAACTTTTACCACCGGTACACTACACTATATCCTAATATTTAAAGGAATTCCATGTTGAGGAAATCGGGGGGGGGGGGGGGGGGGGGGGGGGGATTGTCGAAGGGGAGAGGCATGGGCCCTATCGAAGGAGGAGAGGCAGAACGACATTTGCGTACACCGTTAGAGAAACGACATCTGAGTACACCTATAGAAAAATGGAGGCCTCTCCCTCCATTTTTTTGGAGGCCTCTCCCCTTTCGACAGTTTTCCCCCAATTTTCTCAACACGGAATTCCTTCAAATATTATTTTGTAAAGCACTGTTGAGGTGGGATTCCGTGACAGTCGGAATATGTTACAAAAATTTATTCCTTTCCCTCTCTTTCACCTTTAAGTTGACCACATTTCTTTCCTTTTTTAGTCATCGGAAAGGCCATAAGAGGGAAAGAGAACGAAGCGAAGACCAACACAAAAATGTGGAAGCATAGCCTGTAGGCTTTGGCCCTACGGTGACTGACCGGCCTTTTGCTGCTCACACACACTTTTCCCCCTTTTTTGACTAAAAATACAACAGCCACAGGCCTTTAGGGCGAATCGATTGGACAGGTTAAATTATCCCTTTTTCGTTCTCTCCCCCCATTTTCTTCTCTTTTTGGGAAAGCGGACAGTAAATTGCACTAAAATGACTGTTTCCCCTACAGGGCCAACTTTGTCCTAAAAAACGCCTGAGGCGAAATTTCAAAAATCCGCAAATAACGCCCCTTAAGTGCAACTTTTTTTGTACTTTAATTTACCCTTAGGGCAGTAATTTGAATATTTTTTATTTTTTGTAGGAAAGGCTGTTTTGTAAAGGGGTTGGGGTCAATTGGGCGCGGACAACTAGGGCGCCAGCAAATTTTGATCGACTATAACTTTTTTGTGCCCGATTCAATCCGAATGAGTGTTATATCGTTCGGAAGCCCTTGATAAGCGACATCTTTTTTGTAATTGGAAGGATCAGGTCTGATCACTCGTTAAAAAGTTATGACTCGAGAAGTGCAATTATTTGGTGTTTTTCACGTTTATCGTCCTCTAGCTTTTTAGTGAGTGATCAGACTTGATCCATCTAAAAGGAAAAAAGATAGAGCTCATAAAGGGCTTTCGAATGATATAAGATTGTTCAGATTGGATGAAAACAGAAAAGGTTATAGTCGACCAAAGCTGGCTGGCGCCAAGCTGGCCGCGCCCAGTTAACCCGGTCCGTTTGAATTAGTTTTGGGGTCTAAAAATTTTTGCTTTTCCCCCAAGAAAGGTTTTTCACCTCGCTTGAGTTACAAAATTTCACAATTAGCCCGATTAAAAGGGCATTAACTCTATCAATGCCTTAGCGCGATATATCCCTTTCCCATAGGACTTGCACTTCCCCCTCTAGACATTGTTTACTCTAAATTCTCCCCTTAAACAGTCAAATCGACTAAAAATTTTTTTTCACTTTTGTACACCCCCGGCGGGCAATCCTTGCTTTCCACCTATCACTTGTAATGTTGACAGTCAGGCAAACAAGCACAAAAAAAGGCAGGTTACGAGGGCCTGGCTGGCAGCAACGACCGGCTGGCAGTTTTTTGTTTGTTGTGTTTCTTTCTCTTCCCGAGCGCATCACCAACCCACAGCCATAGGGAAAATATGATTAGAAGAAAGGGAATGAATAGTTGAGCAAATTGGAAGGGCGCACGCATTAACCCACAAGGTAGGGGACGATTGAGTATAGCTGCTTCAGTCTTGAGGTCATATTTTGGGTCATAACTTTTTTGATTCTGGACCGATTTAAATGATTTGTGGATCAATCGAAAGCTCTGAATGTGAGGATTATTTTAGCTAATAGGACTAACTTGATCAGATCATCCTACCAGAAGTTACACTTGGGTAAGTGCGCGCAATCGTGATTTTTGATCGTTTTTCGGCTATAACTTCTGGTAGGATGATCTAATCAAAACAACTCTGTTGGCTAAAATGATCCCCAAATCAAGAGCTTTCGATTGATACATAACTCATTTAAATCGGTTCATAATCATGAAAGTTATGGCCCAAAAGTTACAGCTAAATAAGGACCAGAAATCACTATTTCGCGCACATACCCAAATATAACTTTTTGTAGCATGATCTGGTCAACCCACTCCTGTTAGCTAAAATAATCCTCAAATAAAGAGCTTTCGAATGATATAAAGCTTATTTAAATCGGTTAGAACCAAAAAAGTTATGGCCACCCTCAAGACTGAATCGTCCTTTACTGTCAACCCACAGCGCCATCGGCGAAATTCATTCCTCGCCTCTTCGCAAACATTCATCCCCCTCACCTCTTCTTCTTTACTATCCACATCTCTTCTTCTTCTCTTGTTCCTCCCAGCCACTGATTGTGTAAATAGGGAAAAAAGGAAAGTGAATGTTTGGCTGCCGGCGGGCTGTTGTTGATGATGGCCCAGCCGTCTATACAGAAGTACTGTCAGCAGCGCATCACAAAACTGGGGCCATATTGACAAATACGCCGCTATTTCTCATTATTCCTCATAAAATTTGCTCTTTCAATATCCCAAAATTTTAATTTTTATATTTTATTTCAGGCGAACCTCGTTATAAGATACCCCCAAGGGTTTGAAAAAATCGACCTTATAATGAGGGTGTTCATAAACGGGAGGTATCCTAGGGTGGGTGTCTCGGCCTCCGCTAACTAATAGGTTGTAGGAGCTGACATAAAAGTTTATAACGAGAGGTTGCGAACAAAACTGAAGAGGTGTCCGCAAATGTCGCTTTCTCTGTAATGTTCGCAAATGTCGTTGAGTCTCTTATTTTATAATGAGGGGTGGGTGCATTAAACAGGGTATGTCTCTTGGCCAGCTTCACACAACCACTGTGCAACCGCTTTTTAAGACCGTGTCTTAAATTGAGGTGTATCTTGTATTGAGGGTATCGCAAAACGTTTACGCTCACTTTAAATACCCCAATACTAGATACACCTCTATTTAGGATACGTTTGCTCAAAATGCGTGCCGCTGGGTGGAGAAGCTGCCTAAGCAATACCCCTCTATTTAGGATACTCCTCATTATAAGATACACCTCTTTATAAGATACCCCTCAGTATAAGGTACTCCACAATATAAGGCACACCCAATACTAACTACCCCTTTATTAGAGGGAGGAGAGCTGCCAAGGCGATACCCCTCCATTTAAGGTACCCCTCATTATAGGATACACCTCTTTATAAGATACACCTCTTTATAAGGTACCCTCTTTATAAGATACCCTTCAGTATAAGGTACATCCAATACTAAATACCCCTTTATTAGACGGAGGAGAGATGCCTAAGCGAGACACCCTCTATTTAATACACCCCTCATTATAAGGTACGATTATTCCGCCCCAGGGGGTATCTTATAGCGTGTTTCGACTCTTTTCCAATTTTCAGATTTTAAAGTTCAAAAACGTGCCTTATCCTTATTTGCCTTATTTTTCCTTAATTTTCTGCCTTAAATGACAGCGTCAACTAACAGCTCAATTCACATCAACTTGGAAGACCCCAACTCATCTACAAGTAGCCCACAACCGTTAGAACAACAATTAAGTCCGTTATTGCCTAAAGAGGCTGAATATGTTGAGAGGAAGGTGAAAAAATTTTTAAAAAATTTTCAAAAAATTTTCAAAAAATTTTCAAAAAAATTTTGGAAAATTTTCAAAAAAAATTTCAAGAATTTTCAAAAAAAAATTTTCAAAAAAATTTTCAAAAATTTTTTTAAAAAAATTTTCAAAAAATTTTCAAAAAAATTTTCAAAAAAAATTTTCAAAAAAATTTTCAAAAATTTTTTTAAAAAAATTTTCAAAAAATTTTCAAAAAAATTTTCAAAAAAAATTTTCAAAAAAATTTTCAAAAATTTTTTTTAAAAAATTTTTAAAATTTTTTTAGAGGCCTCTAGCCATTCAAGAATTACTTGAGAAAAAAAGAGCCAGGTTGGCAACAATTCCGAAACAAATTCAAGTTGCTGATAATGGTAGGGAATTTAATGATTTTTTTTACTCTTTAAAGCTCAAATGTGTGAACAGACATTTGCGAACAGACCCAAAATCTATCCGTAAATGTCGTTTCTTGTTAAGTGTTCGCAAATGACGTTCTCTTAGTGGCGGTTGCAAACGTCGCTCTTCAAGTACTGTCCTCAAATGTCGCTCTCCTAGTGCTGTCCAAAAATGTCGCTCTCCTTGTGGGTGTTCGCAAATGTCATCTCTTATTTGTTAGTAGGCGTTCGGAAATGTCGTTTCTTACTAAACATTCGCAAATGTCATCTCATATTGGGCGTTCGCAAATGTCGTTTCCTAGCAAACGAACACAAGTGTCAATTGGCACTCCGCTCTTTACCAAATTTTCACACCTACCGTAGTGTAGTTGGTTAACTCCTCACTGCATCTTTTCGGGGAGACCTGGGTTCGATACCTCTCGACTGATATTGTCCTAATTTTTAACAAAAAAATTTTTTTTTCCAAATTTAGACAATTCCAACGACCTCCAGCACATATTTAATAAATTTTGCGAAACAAAACTCGACCAGAACAAAAATAACGAGAACGATTTTAACCAGATGTGTGAAGATAACGCCATGTTTTACAACGCAAATGGAGGGGAAGACGTTGAAACTGCCAGTTGTAGTTCCGGGGGATGCCCCTCTTTTAACTGGGCGTTGTTTGAGGGCATTTCAGGGTCCATTACACCGTCTATTAATTCACAGAAACAACCGAAAAATGTTAAAATTAATAATACGACGACGCCTTTATTGTCTTCTCCTCTCAAAAATTGTTTGGAATTTTCGCCTACTTCTAGCATGGAGATTGGCGATAATGCTTTGGCTAAGTCTGTCCCTTGCGATCGGTTAGAAATTAATTTTTATAAAGATTTGGGTTTAGATACGGTTGGACCTCACTATCAGCAGACAAAATAGATCCATGAGTAAAAACGACAAAATGTTACCAGGGCTAAGGAATGACAAAACGGTACTTAGAGAAAAAACGACAAAATGGTCTCCATGGTAAAAAACGACAAAATGGTCTCCATGGTAAAAAGCGACAAAATGGTACCCAGGGTAAAAAACGACATAATGGTACGTGACAAGAGGGTACCAAGGATTTTTAAATGAGGCTAAGCAGCTCACCCGCCCAATGGCTCACTAAATTTTAGATGTCTTTTATTGGGTGTCCTAAAGTGAGGTCCAACTTTACTTTGAGACGACATGAAAAACTAAGAAATATTTTCAGAATTTTCGCTCAAGTTCCAGGCAGACTTTCTTTACTTTCAAACGTTGTGAAATATAAAATGACTGTTGGAGAGGTGAAGAGGCGATTAATGGGACCTGAATCTTTTAATTTTAGGTAGGTTTAACTAAAAATAGAAAGGGAAAATAGGAGAGACAAAAAAGGGCGACAAAATGATACACGGGGTAAAAACGACAACATGGTACAAAGTCTTAAGAACGACATAATAGTACTTAGGCTAGGAGGCGACAAAATGGTACTCAGGCTAGAAGGCGACAAAATCATACCAAGGCTAAAGAACGACAAAATGGTACCTAGGCTACAGGACGACACAATGGTACGCAGGGTAAAAAACGACAAAATGGTACAAAGGCAAAATGGTACCATGACCAAAAAGGAAGATCTCTCTAATTTTTCCACTATTTTTATATTCAGAGCCAAAGCCACTAAATTTAAATAAAATTTTCTAGCTTGTTAGGGGCCTTATTGAGACGTGCAAAAATGCCAGAGAAAAGTCAAATGCTTATAGAAGAATTAAATCAAGTCGGGCTTTCTATCCCACGTGGAAGACGACGTCTCTCTCAAGTTACTTTGTTGTCTGCTTTAACTGAGGCTGAAAGTTTACAACTTGCTAATGATTTTAAAAAGGTGTGTGTTTGTGTGTTTTACGTAGTTTGCTCCCAAAACCCCAACCTTTTGGCCAAAACCTGACCTCATTATTTGCAACCCTGATAAATCCCGATCCGAACATTTTGATCCGGAAGGGTCAGGGTCCATCTACACAATGTAGACGAAGGTGGAGTTGAGGGGGGACCTTGAGACCCCCCCCTGTTGATTCCTTGAGACCACCTCCCCTGTTGCTGTTTCGAGCAGACGATAAGGGGCAGGGTTATCCGGCCTAGCTTTTATGCTACCTTAAGTCGACTGCTTATATGTATACATAGTCGGGTTTCGGGTTGAAAAGGACCGGGTTTCGGGTTGAAAAGGATCGGGTTTCGGGTTTCGTGTAACCCAACACATCCCTGTTATATTTAGAAGCCTTTTTAAGATTACAGAATCCGAATTCCCTACACGGCTAATGGCTATAGAAGCACTTGATTCATTCAAACAATCAACTCCATCAATCCTTCCTGGTACTTGTGATAATGACAATTTAATTCGTCTACAAAAGTTGCAAGCTGCGATTAAATTAACTAAACAATTTTTGGAGTTGATGGGAAGAGATACAAGTCCAATGATGGAAAATGTAATTTTAAAAAATTTTTTTTAAAAATTTTGTCCGCAAAAATTATCCGCAAATATTTTTGCGGACTAAAATTTTGTCCGCAAAAACTGTCCGAAAATTTAAGATTTAAATTTAAGATTTCCGAAAAGGAGATTTTTTGAAAAAATTTTGTCCGCAAAAGTTGTCCGCAAAAATTTTTGCGGACGTCCGCAAAATATTTTTGGGCAAAATTTTGTCCGCAAAAACTGTCCGCATATTTGCAGTTTGAATTTCAGATTTCCGTAAAGGAAAATTTTTTGAAATAATTTTGTCCGCAAAAGTTGTCCGCAAAAAATTTGCGGACGTCCGCAAAATATTTTTGGACAATATTTTGTCCGCAAAAGTTGTCCGCAAACTTAGACTTTTAAATTTTCTCAAAAGAAAATTTCCAAAAACCCTAAAATTTTTTGTCCGCAAAATTTTTGCGGACGTCCGCATAAAATTAGCGGACAAATTTTTGTCCGCAAAAATATCCACTAAAACAAAAATTGTCTTCAAATTAAAACCCCAAACTTTTAATTTTCAGAATATGGAACCACTTCTTGACGAGGAATTACAAGCGCCTCTCTCAACCTTTTCAATGTTAACCCATGGATTCGGTAGTTTAAAAGAAAATTTAAATAATTATTTTAAAATATTTAGGCAACCCTGCTATCCAAGTTGGGGTAAATTGTTTTTTACGATTTTTGGAAGAACAAGTAAAAATAATTTGTGAGCAACAAGAACAGAAAATAAATTTATTCCCGAATACTAAATGAAAATATGGGAGGATATTGCTATGAGATGATACCCCCTTTGGGCGTGAAAAAACTCGTACCTTATAATGGGGTGTGTATTAAATAGATGGTATGACCATGTCCTATAACTAGGTGTATATCAGAGATGTCACGGGTTGAGAAAAAGGCCGGGTTTCGGGTAACCCGTGACATCCCTGGTGTATATTAAATAGAAGGTGTACCTTATAATGAGGTGTCTCTTATATTGAGGTGTACCTTAAATAGGGAGTAGGTGCCTTGTAAGGAGTTGTGTCCTAAATAGAGGGTAAGACAATGGAAACCTATTACAATGGAAACTTTATCCATTGGTCAACAAAATTAAAAAAAACCTCATTATAAGGTACACCCTCTTTGTAAGATACCCCTCATTATAAGGATATATATCCCTCGTACCCCTTATATAACCTCCCTCCCACCCAATACTAGATACACCCTCATCTAGGGATACTGCTTGAAAATACTGTAGTGTCCTTAAACTAGATTTGATTTGGATAATTTTCCAAATTTACTCTCAACTCTATGAGGATCTATTTAAGTTAATTTACTAAGCTTTTAACAACAAATTTATTCCAAATTCAACAAATTAATAAGTTCAGTTCAAAATAACGTAAAAATTAATGAGAAAGAAACGGATATTTATAGGTTATAGAAAGGGCGGGAATTTAATATAAAATGGACTGAAAGTTGTAAAGGTTTATTTAAGGTTGAGGTGTTTAGATAAGGAATGTTTTAGGGGAATGTTTTGAATATGAAATGTTTAGATAAAAGGGAAACAGATGTTTGAGGGGAATATTTTAAATTACATAAAGAAATGTTTAAAGGGTTTACAATCAGGAAAAGGAGAGTTTAAAATAAATTGATAAGGAATATTTAAATTATGGTTTTAGGGGAATAGGAAAAACAACATTTATTTAAAATAAACAAAACATCAAAATAGTGTATCCAACACTCCTCCATCCTTTAAGAAGATCAACGGCGGTATCCTCCACGATTATTGCGTCCACGGAAATTGTTGTTGTTATACTGGTTGTTGTTGTAATCTCCACGGCCACGTGGGTAATATGGACGGAAACGGTCACGAGCCATTTCATGGCCTCTCTCACGATCAATTTGACGTAAGAGGAAGAATAAGCGGGAATCTCGTGAGCGTCTATTTTGTGCACGCCCACGGCCTCCTCTTCCCCGATTATTATTATTATTTCCCTCACGATTAGTGGCATTTTCCTCACGATTATTTGCCTCTCCGCCTCTCAAAATTTCGGCGGGATTTTCTAGATTTTCTTGCATTTCTTCTTCATTATTTATTTCTTCATTGACAGAAATAGAATCCGAATTATTTTCTTCATTATTAGTTATTTCATTTTTAATTTCTTTCAAAAGATCTTCAAAATTTGAAAGTTGTGGATTCAGTGCTTGAAGCACATCTCCCACTATTTCATTTTTTAAAGTAAGCATTGCCTCACGAATGAAATCGTGGCTCTTCTGGACCGTTTCACGTGTTGATTTTCCTTCTTTTTGAATTAAAGCCAAGAAAGAAGTATGATTAATAATTGAAACATTTGAAGAATTATTTTTAGCTTTTGAAGTATTTTTAACCAAATTGTTCTCCCTATCCATTAGGGGCTCTTTTGTTGTTTGTTGTTCTTCTTTTGGTTCTTCCATATTGATGTTGTTTATGTCGTCCATTAAAAAAATTATTGATGTCACAAAAATTTTATTTTGAAAACAACTATGAAATAAGTAAATATTGGATATTTAAAAAAAATGTAAATGATACAAAACAAGTTATAAAAAAAGGGATGTGTAAAAAAACGAAAAATATTATATTTTTGACTAGGTTATGATTTAATTACTGAATCTCAGTCGTCTTTGACTGGACTAGGGCTACGGGATCTCAGTTGGTAGTTTCCGCGACTACGCAACTGGTCTATATGAGAAGTTTTGAATGAGCCATCCTCCATTTCAACTCTATATATATAGTCTCCCTTATCTTCTATTACCCTCCCTTTTGACCATTTATCATTTCCAGTGTAATTTCTTGCCCAAATTAAATCGTCAATTTTAAATATTTTTCTTTTTCGGCTTTTTCCTTTATTTTCAACTTCTTCATCTTTCGGCTTATTTAAATTTTCTTTTGGTGTATATTTAATTATATCAATTTTTGATTTTATTTGTCTCCCTAAAAATAAATATGAAGGGGATTCTCCTTCTAGACTAGGGTGCGGGCTTGCTCTATACTCACTCAAAAACTCAGGAATGGCGTCTTTTAAGTTATTGCCGTCAAGCCCTTTTAAAACGCTATTTTTAAACGTTCGTACAAAGCGCTCACAAAGACCGTTACTTTGTGGATGATAAGGAGGTGATTTGATGTGATTCACTCCGTGGAAAAATTGTGGATGGGAGATGGAATTGAACCATCACGGAATGAGCCCAGACCGAAGCACAACCGACTGTGCCACCATCCAACCCATTGCTGGGTTATTTATTTTCATTTATGTTCTTTCTGCAAGTGCGGACACAACACTCCTTCCGCCTTGCGAAACCAAGCGTCCTCGCTTGTTGCTTGTCTTCTATAACTATCATCTGTTTTGATTTTGGAGAGCACACACAGAAACCAATTTGTGGCATTTTATTTTTCTTACTCGCTGCGCATCATCGGCGTCTTACGCATTTTTATTTATATAGCCTCACACCACCGGCTAGCCTATCACAACTCAGGCATTTTTAATTTCTCACAGGGTCTTCTCCTTTTACTCTCCACAGTGACAGAATGTCAGATCATCACAGCATTTGAAGGTTCGCTGAAATTTCCTCAGGCTAAGCCTGGCCTGTCCGACTGCGCCATTTGTCATGTCCGAGTGTTCGTACTGTGGAAAAATTGTGGATGGGAGATGGAATTGAACCATCACGGAATGAGCCCAGACCGAAGCACAACCGACTGTGCCACCATCCAACCCATTGCTGGGTTATTTATTTTCATTTATGTTCTTTCTGCAAGTGCGGACACAACAAATACCCCCAATTTAAGGAACACCTCATTATAAGGTACAACCTCCTTATAAGGTAAGACCTTCTTACAAGATACCCCTCAGTATAAGATACCCCCAATACTAAATACACCCTCATCTAGGGATACTGCTTGAAAATACCCCCAATTTAAGGAACACCTCATTATAAGGTACAACCTCCTTATAAGGTAAGACCTCCTTACAAGATACCCCTCAGTATAAGATACCCCCAATACTAAATACACCCTCATCTAGGGATACTGCTTGAAAATACCCCCAATTTAAAGAACACCTCATTATAAGGTACGCTAGTTTCAGCTCCAAAGGGGTCTCTTATAGTGAGTTAAATATTGGCCTGCTCAGTTTAAAATGCCAAAATATTTACTATTTTTTGAATTTTTTCTATTCATTATTGCAATATTACTCACTTAGCAATCCTTTAAATTTAAATTTCACTTAAAGAAAAATTTGTCTTTAGTCCCCTGTGATTTTCTATTAAAATGGCAACTTTATCTATTATTTGTTTGCAGCCTTAATTTTTGAAATAAAAAAATAAATTTTGATTTTTAAAATTTTTTTTGGATTAACTTCGATGTCTATCGGTATGCTAGTTTTCCCAGTATTCCTTAAGCACACCCATAGACAACAGGGGTGTGCGAGTTTCGCGTTTCGCCTTTCGCGGATTTTCGCGTTTTTTGGACTTTCGCGTTTCGCGTGTCGTTTTTTTAATTTACTTTCGCGTTTCACTTTTTAAATTTAATTTCGCCTTTCGCGTTTCGCTTTTTTTTCGCTTTTAAAAATCCCATAGACAAGGACATAGCAACTGATCAATCAGATTGTTGACAATTCGGGTGTTTGACCAATTGAGTGTTGATCACTTGTGATTTGACCTTTGGGTGTTGGATTCTAGAGTACGGTTGTCGGTTCTAGGAAAATTTTTCAATATCCGGAACCTGACCGTCCTTCAGTTCGGTACCGAATCGATACTCCTATTCTGGTGTTAATCTCCAGTAGTGATCGAGCTGGGTCTGGATCAAGGCCTGGGTTTTTCCTGTACCCAGAGTCCAGGCATTTTTTGACCTTCCAAGGTTTTTCCTGGACTACAAGTCCAGGATCCGGCCCAGGTCAACTAATCAACGTCCAGAGCCCAGGAACAGGACTCTGGACGGTGACCCAACCTTTTCCTTCATATTAGCCTGTTTTATCCTTCAAAGATCACTTGGGACCAAATGGCCGCCGGCCAAATGTCCGCTTTTCAAAAATTTTGATCACTACTCTCCAGGGTGTTGATCTATTGGGAATGAAATTTGAGCTGAGAATCCTTTTAAATATAATAGACTTAAATAGACTAACGGTCACTTGCTCTTTGTTTGATTTAAAAAGGACTTATTGAATTACACCGCGCAAAAAGAACAAAAAATATTTTTTTCAAAAAACATTTTCCAAATGAAAAAAAAACATTTTTTATTTTTATTCTTAAAGAATGGCTCTAAAACTCAACTTGCTTCTAAACATTTTATTAGCCTGTTATTTCCTTCGAAAATCACTTGGGACCAAATGTCCACCGACCAACAGTCCCCCGATCAAATGCCCACCGGCCAAATGTCCGTCGACCAAATGTCCTATAAACTATCCGACGACCAAATGTCCCATACAATTAAATTACAAAATTGCCGGTGCCGATCCACCCTCACACTGTGAGCTTCCCACAGACCCAAATAAACTCCCTCCGTCAAGTCTTGAAAGCTGGTTTACTCGAGAAATGTTCGACGATCTCTTTCCATTTTCCAATCTTGGCTGGGGACCGCACCCCTGTTCACCATACTCTTTCGAGGCTTTTATAATAGCTGCTCGTTACTTCCCCCGGTTTGGGAAGGAAGTAGATTTGAAGAATGGTTTTACACCGAGGGAGAATAGTCGAAGAGATGTGGCGAGCTTTTTGGCACATGCCATCCAGGAGACTGGACTGAATGATGTTTCAGTCTACCAAACGAGGTGAGAAGTGGAGCGACATTTGCGAACAGACATTTGCGAGAACGACATTTGTGAAGCGACATTGAGAATGCCCACCAGGCTTTCTGTTTTGACTACTACTTCAGTCGGACCTCATTTTTACATACACCTATGGGGCTTAAAAACTCGTGCCTTATAATGAGGGGTATCTTAAATAGAGGGTTACGGTTATGCTACGGTTACATAAAAATCGCGCGCGTCTTGCGACAGAAAAGATAATGTAAAAAGAGGAGAGAAAAGAGGAAAAAAATTCTGTCGCTTTTTTCTAGTGGTTACATAAAATGCGTCTTCCGCCGGCGTCTTGTCGCCGGCGTCTTGTCGCTTTTTTCGAGTGGTTACATAAACCGCGTCTTCCGCCAGCGACAAGACGCCGGCGTCTTGTCGCTTTTTTCTAGTGGTTACATAAAATGCGTCTTCCGCCGGCGTCTTGTCGCCGGCGACGCTTTTTTTAATTCAAACATGTTTGAATTTTTGGCGACAACTTTTAGCGTCTTGATCATTTCTCGGCCAATTCTAGTCCGATTTTCAAAATTTAAAAAGATTCTGAAAATTCAGTTTATTCTCTATCGATCAATATAAATTTTATATTTTTAAAGTTAAATCTTATGGGTTAAAATTGATTTTGAAAAAGGTATACTTTTTGCAAAAAAATATTCTTTTTTTCGATATTTTTGATGAGATATTCAGTATGATATCGAGTATTTATATTAGAGCCCGGAATTTCGTACCGTACCGTATTCCGTACCGTATTTCCGGCCATATTCTTTTCCGTATTCCGTACCGTATTTCAGAATTTTACCGTTCCGTAAAACGGTACGGAATACCGAAAAATACCGATAAAAATTTATCGGTATTCCGTACCGTATTTGAAAAAATTATGTAATTTGTTAAACAATAATTATATTTATATATAAATCTTTAGAGACAAAGAATATATCTTGGAATATGGTCTAAATATATTGAAAATATATTGAAAATATCTCGTGTCTTGTGGCAAAATACGAGATACGAGACCTCTAAAAAACACGAGATTTCACGAGATACGAGAGGAGCGCCACTCCTGATCGGTACCATGGCAGAATAAAATGATTTGATTTTATAAATTTTATTTTATTATGATAAATATTTAAAAAAAATTTTAATCGGATTTAGTGGTTACATAAAATCGCGCGCGTCTTGAGACAGACGCTCGGCGACAAGACGCGCGCGACAGTCGCTAGTGGCGTGGTTACATAAAATCAGCGTTTGTCGCTTTGCGTCTTGTCGCTTTGCGGAAGACGCCGATTTTATGTAACCACACCACTAGCGACTGTCGCGCGCGTCTTGTCGCCGAGCGTCTGTCTCAAGACGCGCGCGATTTTTATGTAACCGTAGCATTAGGCAGCTCTCCCACCCATTGCAAACCAAATTAAAAAGCCGTATCTTAAATTAAGGTTTTCTAGTATGGGGGTATTTAACAACGAGGTTCGACTTAATGAAAGTAGTACGTTAGGTATAAGCCAGAGTTCTAGATACGATCCAATACCCGTATGTTCCCAAATCAATAGGCTTCAGGGACGCTCGCAAATGTCGTTTGTTCGCAAATGTCGTTTGTCCGCAAATGTCGTTTGTTCGCAAATGTCTCTAACACAACTATAAAATAGTAGACTGAACTCATCACAAGCGGATGCCTGTTTTTTCCGCGGTGGACTCTTCAACTGGTTTGAGGGAGGGCCAGTCTCCGCGTTTTTGGCACCCTCAACAAGCATGAAACCGGAGGGAGGTGAGATATGTATTGCAAGTGGAAGGTACTGTTCCCCTTCACCTTTTTATGGATGTGGAAATGAAACTGATGGAAAATATTTTAAAAGTTGTTACTTTGGAAGGGGAGCTATTCAGGTAATGGAACTCGTGTCAGGACAGCTCACCGTCCGACCAAAATACCGTCCACCTAGAGTATAAAATACCGTCGAAGTGGAGGTCCTGACGGTATTTTGGTCAGATGGTGAGTTGTCCCTCACCCTTGGAACCTACTATGGGATACCTTTAAGAACTATAATGGGACTATTTAGGTTATAAATTGAATTGTCCGCAAATATCGTTTGTACACAAATGTCGCCCTATTTATGAATCGGCGTTTCAGTCTCGAGGCTATGTTTTTGGCCATAACTTTTTTGATTCTTAACCGATTTGAATGAGAGTTATATAAATCGAAAGCTCTGGTTTTAGGATTATTTAAACTAACAGGATTGATTAGATCAGAGCATTAAATAAAAAGTTACACTTGGGTAAGTGCGCGAAATCGTGATTTTTGACATTCATTCGACTTTAACTTTTTGTATAATTGTCTGATCAAATCAATCCTGCTAGATAAAATAATCCCCAAGTCAAAAGCTTTCGATTGATGCAAAAATTATTTAAATTGGTTAAGTATCGAAAAAGTTATGGCCAAAACTATGGCCTCGAGACTATTAATCTATAGAGTTGACTCTCGCTTGCCTCTCCCAAGTAGCCACTGAAATTTTAATTCTCATCTTTAAAATATGCCTAATATTGGGGGTAACTTATATAGAGGTAGTCTAATTTTTCAGATTTCATACAATTACAACTATGGCCAATTTGGAGAATGGCTAAAAACACAAAACATTAGCGTCGACTTGATAACCCACCCAAATCTTGTGCTCACAAAGAGAGACCCACCACTCGCCTTACTCGCCTCTTTGTGGTTCTACATGTCTCCACAACCCCCAAAACCGGCTATGCATGATATAATTCTTGGTCAGTGATTGAGGGTTCTTTTCCTTTGTGTTGCCAAAAATCCGCAAGCACAGTACAGTAAAACCTCTGTATTAAATACAACTTAGGGCTGAAAAAATAGTCTCTTATAATTAGGTGTATCTTAAATAGAGGGGTATTGGCTTGAGCAACTCTCCCACCCAGTGGCCTACCAAATTAGAATCCTTATCTTAAACTGGGGTGGACCTAGTATTGAGGGTATCTTATATTGAGGTATTACATAGAGGAGATCGCTTGGGCAACCCCCCTCCCCGTTAATCATAATTTTTAAAAATATTACCCTAAATGGAAGTGTACCTGGTATTGGAAGTATCTTATAACGAGATGTACCTTATAATGGGTATATCCTAAATAGAGGTTCTGCTTAATCATCCACAATAATCACTTAATTTTAACAAGCGTATCTAAAATTGAAGTACACCTAGTAGTGAGGGTATCTAATAATGAGGGTATCTTATAATGAGTATATCTTAAATAGACGGTATTAGTCAACCCAATGGCCGACCTAATAAGGCCACCCAAATTTGAAAAGCAGTATCTTAAACGAAGGTGTACCTTATACTGAGAGTATCTTATAGAGGGTGTATACTATAATGAGGTTTTCGGGAGTACACAGGAAAGGAACCATTTAACCTTTAAAAAGACGTTTTAAAGGTCAATGGAATGCTGGTAGCGAAAACGAAGCAGCGGGGTATTCCGGCCCCGTCTTCGGCCCAACAAGCCTTATAATTAATAATGAATGTACCGGAGAAGATCCAATAGCTCCAGGAAATGGTGGAGAGAATCGGAGGATTCGGGCGTTTAAATGGCTGTGCAACTATTTTGGAGTTCCTGTGGATAGGAATGAGTCTACGCTTACCTGCAAAATTAAGTTTTCAATCTTTTTTAGGAGAAAGACAAACCTCTCTATTAAATACTCCTCTTTGGACTGAAAAATTGTACCTTATAATGAAGGGAACCCTATAATGAGGTGTACCTTAATAGAGGTGTACCTTATAATGAGATGTATATTATAAAGAGGTGTACCTTAAAATGAGTGCTACCTTATAATGAGTGTACTTACAATCAGGGGTATCTTATATCGAGGGTATTGCCATGGGTGTATCCTATAAGGATGGGTACCTTAAAAAGAGGTATAGCTTAGGTTATATCTTATAACAAGGATACCCTCTATTTAATGTACATCTCATTTAAGACACATCTCATATTTAACATTGAGGGTGTATTTTAAATAGGGAGGGTGACTTCTATTCAACCCCTCTAGCCGTCGGAAACCCAGCATTTTAGAACTAAATTGAGGTGTATCTTGTACGACAAAATGGTACCAAGGTTAAAAGTGACAAAATGGTCAATAACAAATACACCCAATTTAAGATACGTTTTCTAAAATGAGTTTGGCCACAGGGTAGGTAGCTTCCTAACTGTGACCCTCTATTTAAGATACCCCCCATTATAAGGTACGATACTTCAGCCTCGAGGAGGTCCTTTAAAATGAGGTGTAACTGTTCTCTTTAAGATTTTAGATATGCCTAAACGTTTCGATCAAATACCGCAGAATGTCAGTTGGGAGCCAGATTGGTCAACAACATGGAGGGACGACAATCCATGCCAATGTGCACCGGCAACTTATGCTGGTCTTTTTTTAAACTAGAAATCAGAAAATAAGCAGTTGAACCTCATTATTAAATACAACCTTGGGAAAAATTGTATCTTAAATAGAGGGTATCACTTGGGTAGACAATGACCAACAGACCTCTTGGCGAGTTCGCGGCAGGCAAAATAGTACACAAAAAATGACAAAATGGTATCAAGGCTGAAAACGACAACATGGTACTAAATGTAAAACACGCAAAACGGCACCAAATGTAAAATACGACAAAAAGGTACAAGGAGTAAAAAACGACAAAATGATATCTGGGCTAAAACGACAAAATGGTACCAGGGGTAGAAAACGACAAAAAAATACCAAAGTAAAAAACGACAAAATGGTACCCTGGGTAGAAAACGACAAAAAAGATACGGAAAAATTCCGTCATATGTCCCGGAAACCGATTCGGACAAATGATATGTCATTCGAATGAGCTCAACGAGCTGAGTCGAATGACACCAAAATTAGCTGGGGGACTCACATATGGGCCGAGATATAGGTCCCCGAAAATCGAAAAACCATAGGGGGGAGTAAGCTCAATTTTGGGGTGAAAAAATCGATATTTCGAATGATAGCTCATTCGAAAGAACTCCTCAAGCTGAGTCGAATGACACCAAAATCAACGAAATCCGACTTGATTGGACCGAGATATAGACCCCTAAAAATCGAAGATCCAAAGGGGCGATTTTTGGAATAAAAAATTTTTTATACAAATAATAACTCATTCGAAAGAGCTCGACGAGCTGAGTCGAATGACACCAAAATCACCGTGATTGAACAAGATTAGACAAAGTTATGACACAAAAAACAAAAACCTAAACCTATGGAGCGTCGGCGAGGCGCTTGTGCAAAACCCCGCGCTTCGCGCGGGGTTTTGCGGCACGCGCCTCGCGGGGAGTCTACGGGCGCTGGGTCTGGGCTCGTAACATAAACCTATTCCTATCTCCCTTGCTCTGGACGTATTTGGGGCCTCCGTAGCAGCAAAAATCTCCACAGATGCCATAGGTAAGGAGCTAAAATAGAAGATCATAACTTTGTTCAGTCAAGTCGGATTTCGTTGATTTTGGTGTCATTCGACTCAGCTCGAGGAGCTCTTTCGAATGAGCTATCATTCAAAATATCGATTTTTTCACCCCAAAATTGAGCTTACTCCCCCCTATGGTTTTTCGATTTTCGGGGACCTATATCTCGGCCCATAGGTGAGTCCCCCAGCTAATTTTGGTGTCGTTCGACTCAGCTCATTGAGCTCTTTCGAATGACATATCATTTGTCCGAATCGGTTTCCGGGACATATGACGGAATTTTACCAAAGATACCAGGGGTAGAAAACGACAAAATAGTACTAGGAGTAAAAAACGACAAAATGGTAAAAGGGGTAGAAATAGACAAAATGGTACCAGGGGTAGAAAACGACAAAATGGTAACCAAGGGGTAGAAAACGACAAAATGGTACCAGGGGTAGAAAACGACAAAATGGTACAACGGGTAAGGAACGACAAAATGGTACCCTGGGTAGAAAACGACAAAATGGTACAAGGGGTAAGGAACGACAAAATGGTACAAGGAGTAAAAAACGACAAAATGGTACAAGGAGTAAAATCGTATCCTAAACTGAAGTGTATCCAATAATAGGGATATTTTAAAATGAGTGTGTATTTAAAAATGAGGTTCTTCGTATTTTAAAGGAGTCCACCCCTGAAGACCTACACCCCCAAGACCTACACCCCCAAGACCTACACTTCCAAGACCTACCCCCTGTGGATTTGAAGGTTTTAAAGAGGATAAAGGGGGATTAAGGGGATATCGAGGATTTTAATGGTTTAAAGTGGATAGAGGGATTTATCAGGATAAAGAGGATCTTCTGATATCCTCGATATCCCCTAAAATTTGTAGGTCTTCAGGGTAAATAGGTCTTCAAGGTGTAGGTCTTCAGAATTGACCCCTTTTAAAGGATTAATACCCTATTATCAACCTGGCTTCTATCCCCCACACTTTGTAAACTTAAACGAAGAAAATCGTCAAAAATGTGAACTCATGTTGAGCGAGGAAAAATATGCAAAATTATTTGGCTTGTTGGACAGGTCAACAACTGGATGTTTAAATTTTACATTAAACACAAAAGAAGAAAATTTAAAAAATAAATTTAATATTCAACTAGAAACAAATACAAGCACAAATTTAAAGAAAGAAGGCAATGTGGAAAAAATTTTAGATTTATCAGGGTTATAAAGGAAAAATATTTTAAGAAATTTATTTTAAATAGTGTCCGGCAAAATGATTTTTAGTATCCGGAAAAAGAATACCGGATTTTGTACTAATGCCAGAACGGATCCGAGTTAATTATTCCGGATCAGGCCGGATTTTCTAAAAAAAATTTCCGGAAAAAATTTTCGCTGATCCGGTCGAATATTTTCCGGATGTGGTCGGATCGAATGTCTTCAAGATAAATATAGGAAAAATTCCGTCATATCTACCGGAAACCGATTCGGACAAGTGATATGTCATTCGAAAGAGCTTATCGAGCTGAGTCGAACGACACCAAAATTAGCTTCGGGATTCATGCGGCACGCGCCTCGCGAGGAGTCTACGGGCGCTGGGTCTGGGCTCGTAACATAAACCTAGTCCCATCTCCCTTGCTCTCGACGTATTTGGGGCCTCCGTAGCAGCAAAAATCTCCACAGATGCCATAGGTAAGGAGCTAAAATAAAAGATCATAACTTTGTCCAATCAAGTCGGATTTCGATGATTTTGGTGTCGTTCGACTCAGCTCGGCAAGCTATTTCGAATGACATATCACTTTTCCGAATCAGTTTCCGGTAGATATGACGGAATTTTACCTAAATATATTCCGGATCTGTTAGAAACCTTCCGGCAGTAGTTACAGCCCCCACCGTCTAAAGGGATGCAGAAAATGTCATCCTTTAGGTCGTTGGGTTAAATCAAAGGGGCTATAACTACTACTGGTTCTGGATTTTTCCGGACCCGTCAGAATATTTTCCGGATCCTGTCAGTCCAGAAAATAAGAAAAATTTCGGATTTGTGACCTTCCAACTCCAGAAAAAACCCGAACGGATCCGTTTCGGCGCCGTACACTATTCAAAAATATTAAGCAATATCCGATCCCTGACCAAGGCAAATTATAAAAGAATGTAACATTTCTAATAAAGAATCGATCGCTTTTGTTTTTGATTTACCCGAATCACATTTTGAAATATGCCTGAGAGTGTAGAGAAGTTCGGAATTATTTGAATATTGCAGGAGGGCTAACATACAAATATCCTAAAAATAAAAAATTGAAATGAAAAATTGCGGACGTCCGCAAAAAATTTGCGGACATCCACAAAATTTTTGCGGACAATTTTGTTTCGGACTTTCATTTTAAAATCCCAAAAAGCCATGCCAACAGACAAGAATGAGAAAAAAAAGAGAAAACCCCCAAATTTTGCGGACAAAAAAAAATTGTCCGCAAAAATTTGCGGACAGTGCGCAAAAATTTTTGCGGACAAATTTTGCAAATTTTCTTTTTTAATACCTAAAAGCTATGTCAACATGCAAAAAATAAGGGAAAAACCAAATTTTGCGGACAAACAAAATGTGCGCAAAAATTTGCGGACGTCCGCAAAATTTTTGCAGACTGTCCGCAAAAATTTGCGGACATCCGCAAAATTTTTGTTGGTAGCCACAAATTTTTTCAAAATTACCCCAACTCACAACCGTCAAATCTCCAGGCCAAAAATAAATAAAAAAAATATACCTTTAGACCACCTCCATAAGCTAACGTTGGAATTGCAAGTACCAACGGAAGAAAGATGGGAAGCGTTTGTCCAGTAATAAGACGAGCTGCCAAGCCCCTTTCCAGCAAAAAATTTAAAAGGCGAGTGCAAAGGTATTTATCGGCCAACTGAAAAAAAAATTTTTTAAGGAGAAATTATTTAAAAAAATTTTTTTTGAAAAAAATTTTAAAATTGCGGACAAAAAAATTGTCCGCAAAAATTTGCGGACGTCCGCAAAAAAATTTTTTTTGAAAAAATTTTTCAATTTGCGGACAAAAATTTTTCCAAAAAAATTTTCAAAAAATCTCTAAAATTTTTTTAATTTTCTTTAGTAATTTGAAAAAAAAATAAAAATTACATAAAGCAATGATGCGCATGTTTGTGCATCATCCACAAGAGTACAATCAATGCCAAAAGGACAGCCAATTGAAAAATGCTTTAAAAATTATTTATTATTTTGCGGACAATTTTTGCGGATTTTTCCTTAGAAAAATAATATAATGAAAAATAAAAATTTGCGGATAATCCGCAAAAATTTTTGCGGATTTTCCACCCCAAAAATTATTGGCTCTATCTTAGGACATGCGTCCCACGAACATTTATGCGTCCCATGAAAGTATATGCGTCCCAAAAATAGTATAAGCGTCTCTTCAAAGTAAATGCGTCCCAAAATTAATATAAACGTAAAACAATTGTAAAAACATTTTTTTATTTTAGTAATGACAATTAAATTTTTATTATAGGTTTCCTTGCTCAAGGGACAACGTGCATTAAATTAATATTTAATAGAGATGTCCGAAACTCTTGGTCTTGGAACTAAGACTTTTCTTGGTTTTTTTCGGTCTGGTCTTGGGGTGTTTGTCTTGGTCTTGTCTTTGCGCTTATATTATTTTGGGACGCATATACAATTTTTGGGACGTATATACTTTCATGGGACGCATATACTATTTTTGGGACGCATAAACTTTCATGGGACGCATAAAAGTTCATGGGACGCATAAATGTTCATGGGACGCATGTCCTAAGATAGAGCCAAATATTTGCGGAAAATTTTTGCGGATTATCCGCAAATCTCATTTTCACCCCAGAAACTCTCAAGGGTACCACTTTGAATAAAAACCACAAAATTATACCAAAAATTTAATAAAATCCTCTTGTGAACAGCAACAATTTTCCTCTTCCGAATCAAAAATAAATTGGTCTTTAAATTCAAGTTTTTGAACAAATTCGCTTCCGAACATTCCCTTAAAAATTAAATTAAAATTAATTAAAATTAAGGCAATGGACTGCGGGATGGCGTTCTGGGCCTAGAGAATATTCCTAAAAATTGGAGAGGAAAAAAATATTTAAGAAAAAATGCGGACAATTTATTGCGGACAAGTTTTTGCGGACTTTCCCTCATTATTCATTAACCATGGGTCATATTTGTGGTCATAACTTTTTTTGTCCTTAACCGATTTAAATGAGTTTTATATCATTCGAAAGCTCTTGTTTTGAGGATTATTTTACCTAACAGGATTGATTTGATCGGATCACCTTACCTGAAGTTGTGGCTGAATAACTATCAAAAATCACGATTGCGGGTACTTACCCAAATGTAACTTTTGATAGGATGATCTGATCAAACCAATTCTATTGGCTAAAATGATCCTCAAATCAAGAGCTTTCGATTGATACATAACTCATTTAAATCGGTTCAGAATCAAGAAAGTTATGGTCCAAAAGTTACAGCCGAATAAAGACCAAAAATCACGATTCTACGCACTTACCTAAATGTAACTTTTGTTAGAATGGTCTGATCAAATCAATCCTGTTAGCCTAAATAATCCCTAAATCAAGAGCTTTCGATTGATATAAAACTTATTTAAATCGGTTAAAAATCAGAAAAGTTATGGCCAAAAATATGCCCTCGGGCGGCCACAAATATGGCCTGTACGGCGCGCCGAAATTTGCGGATTTTAATTTGCGGACCCGAAATTTGCGGACCCGAACTTTGCGGACCCGAAATTTGCGGACCCGAACTATGCGGACCCGAATTTTGCGGATCTGAGATTTGCGGACCAAAAATTTGCGGACCGACAGTAGAGTCTACTGAACCTCGGAAATTTCAAAAATTTTAGCCTGCGGCGTTAATTAGGATGAATTCAGGCATCATGGCCTTATAAAATGGCCATATAAATGATTTTTAAGGAATTTTCTCGATTATCTAAATTATGAAATAATTTTAAGATAGAAAATTGATAAAAATTTTGAAAAATCAAGAAAAAATCTCGAATCCGGTACGGATTATGGTAAACTCTGCCGGAATCCTCGAAAAATAAAATTTTAAATTTTTCCTTTTTACTCAAGTGTCGGGCTTAAAATCTTGGTTCCGCAAAGATCAGGTCCGCAAACTTCGTGTCCGCAACCTTCGGGTCCGCAACTTTCGTTCCGCAAATTTCGGGTCCGCAAAGTTCGCGCCACGGCCTGTACTTAATCTCCCCTCTACCCCCTTTCCCTTAAAAATTTTTAAAAATTTTTAAACCGAAAAATATTCATTAAAATTGCACAAATCTTCTTTTAAAACAGTTAATAAATGTTGTCCTTTACTATTACGAAAATTGAGAATTTCCTCTGTTTTTGAAAAAATTTCAAAATTTCTTTCAAGTAAAAGACACTTTTGGTCACTTTTTGTAGCTTCTAAAGGTATAAAGTTGCTAATTGATGTTGTTGAGGATTCTAAGAGTTGGTGGGGGAATATACAAGCTAATGTAGCTATTATATCACAACATAGAGTGGCCTGGAAAATTTTTAAGAAAAATAAAACAAAACCCAATCCTTGATTGGAAGACCCCCCCCCCCCATGTGGGTTGAAAAATCGTATCTTATAATGAGGTGCTTGTTAAATAGAGAGTATTGCTTAGACAACTCCCATGTATATAGATAAGATACAAATATCCCAAAAAAAAGAAAATGAAAAATTGCGGACAATCCGCAAATTTTTGCGGACTGTCCGCAAACTTTTTTGCAGATTTTCTTTTTATCATATTCCGCGCCTATAGATAAAATGTATCCTAATCTGAGGTGTCTCTAAATCAAGGATATTTTAGACATAGTAAGGTTCGACTGATCAAAAATAAAAACCTCTGTAGTGCCATCTTCAAGTGAAATTTCATTTTGCGCACATTTCCGCAACAAATCTCCAAATACATCAAAAATAGCTTCAATTGGCCGAAATTTTAAAAAGAAACGAGATCTGCGTTCAGGCTGCCGAATTAAAATCTAAAATAAATTTAAAGAAAAATAAATAAATTTTTTGCGGACAATATTTGCGGACAGTCCGCAAAATTTTGCGGACAGTCCGCAATTGCGGACTAAACACAATGTCCCCATATTTTTCACAGAATTTTACTTTTAGAAATGCCTAATATTCTTGCGGACAATTTTTGCAGATTTTTTAAATAGAAGAAATCCGCAAGTGTCCGCAAGTGGAGAGAAAGAATCCGCATTTTTGCGGATTTTCCTATAAATATTAGAAAATCCGCAAAAAAATTTTTCCCGAAAAATCCGCTAAAAAATTTTTTTCTAGAAAAATCCGCAAAAATTGTCCGCAAAAAATAAATTAAAAAATAAACCACTGCAGCCATTAATGTATAAATTCTTCTATTCTCTTCATCTTTAAAATCCAAAAGATTTTTAGTTGGGTCCATTTGTGTTGTAAGTAGAATATATTCCCCCATTCTAGAATCAGCTAGTAAAGCGTGATCAGACAAAAGTAAACGTCCAAAATCTCGGCGCACGTCACAACGACCACATGGGCGGGCATAACTAAAAATTAGTTGAAAAGGGAAAGCTCACTATAAGGTATAATCTCGCTATAAGAGCACCTTGCAATGAGGTAGATGAAAAAAGAGGTAGATCTCACTATAAGGTACCTCACTATAAGGTACACCCTCAGGGCAAAATTGTACCTTATAATGAGGTGTACGTTAAATAGAGGGTATCGCTTAGAGAGCACCCCCTAGACAATGGACAACGTGCCTTATAATGAGGTGTACGTTAAATGGAAGGTATCGTTTAGAGAGCACCCCTAGGCAATGGACAACGTACCTTATAATGAGGTGTACGTTAAATAGAGGTTATCGTTTAGAGAGAACTCCCACGCAATGGACAACGTACCTTGTAATGAGGTGTACGTTAAATGGAGGTTATCGCTAAGAGAACACACCCCATGCAATGGACAACGTACCTTATAATGAGGTGTACGTTAAATGGAGGTTATCGTTTAGAGAACACTCCCACGCAATGGACGACGTACCTTATAATGAAGTGTACGTTAAATGGAGGTTATCGTTTAGAGAGCACCCCCTAGACAATTAAATAGGTTTGCCAAAATGGGCCGACTAGGACCGGAAAACTGAGTCGGACATAGGATATTTGCCCGAAAAAACCTCGTAAGGCCTGTCTCAAAAACGGCAACCATATAGACAAAAGATAACCGTTCTAAAGGAACGTATCTTAAGTCGAGGCGTATTGAGTATTTGGAGTATCATATAAAGGTGTACCATAAATGGGGGCATCACTCAGGTGACTACCCTTGGCAAGTTATCAGAGACGTTAAAAAAGGTATCTTAAATAGAGGTCGTTTAGTATAGTCGAGCCTCGTCCTTAAATCCCCCCCAATACAAAATACCAAGTGCATAGCCATGGGGTCGATTTCGGAAGGAGGAGCTAACATTGGGTGTGCGCCAAAGTTGGCTACGCCCCCTTGGCTACGTCCCCAACCCCATGGCTACGCCCTACAAGATACACCTACCTCTGTTTAAGATACGCCTTTTAAGGTTTGGCTGGCCTCCTAGTGGAAGAGAACTTTTCAAGCAATACCCTCAATTTAAGATACATCTCATTATAAGAACAATTTTCCTCTAAAAAAGTATCTAAAAACGAGGTCCAACCATGGGACACGCCCAAGTAGGCGCGCGGCCATGTAGGCGCAAAGCCATAACTTGCTGGAAACTTTCTGGCCCTTAACAATTTTGTTGCCAATCTCTTTAGCTCAATGAGAGGAGCGTTTAATACTAAATTTGGTAGGATTCGGGAATATTGAAGTAAGTTATGGCTTTGCGCCTACTTGGGCTGTACCCCCAACCATATCAGAAAAATTAAATTTTTTAAAGCAAAACCGATTTAATAAACAATTCCTTCTTACAAGCCTCGAAATAATAATTCGTTGAAAATTCATTTCAAGCAATAAAGGCAATCCGCTTTGATGACAAGAAAGTCGACGCAATGCCCTAGCCAGACGGTTATCCATTTCTGGGGCTTCGCTTATATATTGTACAAGTAGAGTGATTACCTAGAGAAAAGATAAAAATTTTATCACGGTTTTGAAGTTGCGGACACTTTTTGCGGACAAAAGTTTCGTGGACAAAATTTGTCCGCAAGTTGGAAAAGTCCGCAAATTTTGTCCGCAAGTTCGCAAAATTTGTCCGCAAGTATGAAAAAAGGTCCGCAAAATTTGTCCGCAAGTATAAAAAAAGGTCCGCAAAAATTATGTCCGCAATCTAAAAAATCCCCGAAAAATTGTCCGCAAGTCTGGGAAAAATCAACATGTATTATTCTAAAGTGATTTACTAGAGAAAAAAGTGATTAAGTGATTTACTAGAGAAAAAAAACAAGAATTTTAACAGGTTTTGATATTGCGAACTTACCCGAAAATTTTTTGCGGATTGAGTTAGACTGAAAGTCTGAAAAAACTCTCCGCAAGTCTGGAAAGAGTTCGTAAAAAAAGTCCGCAAAAGTTGTCCGCAAGTTAAAAAAAGTCAGCAAAATTTTGTCCGCAAGTTAAAAAAAGTCTGCAAAATTTTGTCCGCAAGTTAAAAAAAGTCCGCAAAATTTTGTCCGCAAGTTAAAAAAAGTCTGCAAAATTTTGTCCGCAAGTTAAAAAAAGTCCGCAAAATTTTATCCGCAAGTTAAAAAAAAGTCCGCAAAATTTTGTCCGCAAGTTAAAAAAAGTCCGCAAAATTTTGTCCGCAAGAGACACTCCAAGAAGGCCAGGTAGGATTAAAAATTATTTACAAAAATAAACCTCTTGATTAATCAAAAAAATGCTTTGCTTTTCCTCCTTATGTGAAAAATGGGCAATTAAACGAATTTCAATGTGAACCAACTAAAATAAAAAATTTAAAAAAAATTTTTTCAAATTAAAAAAAAACTTTTTGCATTAACCGCAATTCTTTTTCAAATGATAAATTGTCATTTTCTGTAACCTTTTCTTCCTTATTTTCAAATAAATCAATTGCTGATGGATCTAAAATAGAATAAATTTTATGCATAGAAGAAGCAGACAAAAATTTGTCCGTAAATTTTTTGCGGACAAATTGGATACTGATAATACCAAAAATGCCTGCGGATATCTGCCTGTATCTGCCGTAAATATCCGGATACCGGTTGGGGTCAGTTGAGCGTGGCCGGTTGAGCGTCAGCCGACATTTGAAGGGCTATAACTTTTTGCTTTTTGATCCAATACGAATGAATTATATATCATTCGAAAGTCCTCGATAAACGCTATCTTTTTTCCAATTTGATGGATCAAGTCTGCTCGCTATTTAAAAAGTTACAAGTCGATAAGTGTGAAAAACACCGATTTTCTGCACTTATCGACTTGTAACATTTTAACCGGTGATCAGACTTATCTATCCAGTTAGGATTTAGATTGGGCTCATCGAGGGCTTTCGAATGATATATGATTTATTCTGATTTGATCAAGCTTAAAAAAGTTATAGCCATTCAAAGTTGGCTGACGCTCAACCGGCCACGCTCAACTGGCCCGCTTCGTCCGGATACGGATACCAAAATCAGTATCCGTGACCATGTCTGGCGACAATTAAGTATACGACACTTGCGGGCAAGACTAAGTAAGTAAGCCTCACATTTGGCGGCAAAAATTTTGTCTGCAAACGTCAGTCAACAAAAATATGCAGTTCGCAAAATCCGCAAGTTTTGTCCGCAAATGTCTTCGCAATTGTCAGTCCGCAAAGTCAGTCCGTAAATTTTGTCCGAAAAAATCATGTCATTTCACAAAATCAACAGAATTTGTCCCCAAACGTCAGTTCCAAAACTCATCCAAAAAATATATCCGTACATGTCAATACCCCCCCTCCCCCATAAAAATTTCCTTATTTACCATCAGGCTCAACTTCTCCAGGCGCTGCTTGATTTGCACTTAGCGGCGATAAAGTATCTCTAGTATAATGTAAATAATCATCGAGTAAAAAGGAAGTTGAGGGAGTATAAAAAGTTGGTGGGGGAGGAGAGGAAGAATCATTATTTGGTGGGGAAGCGCTGGGACTTGAAGAGAAGTTTGATAAATTGCAACTGGAGGAGGGTGACATGGCTGGTGACCAAGCTGGATTTTTGACCAAATAGGAAGAGGCTAAGGATAAAATTATAAAATTGCCAACAAATTGCGGACAAATTTTTTGTCCGCAAAAATTTTGCGGACAAAATTTTTTTATCCGCAAAAATTTTGCGGACAAAATTTTTTTATCCGCAAAAATTTTGCGGACAAAATTTTTTTATCCGCAAATTTTTTGCGGACAAATTTTTTTATCCGCAAATTTTTGCGGACAAATTTTTTTATCCGCAAATTTTTGCGGATAAAAAAAGTTCGCAAAAATCTGTCCGCAAATTTTTGTCCACTTCTTTGTTATAAAAAATTTTAATAAGCAACTTAAAAAATCACCAGCAGAAAAGTCTTTGCAAAGTGGCCAGAATTGTCTATCCTTCTAAAGAATTAATTTAAAAAATATTTTTTTAATTAAAAGAACCTTTCCTCTATCATTATATGGCGGATCAATTATAGCAGGAAATAAAGGTTTTTCTTCTGGAGAAATATATTCAATTTGGCATTTGTAGGATGTTGAGTCCAAATAGCACCGAATATGATTGAGAACGCAAGGGATAAAATTGGGGTGCTAAAAATTAAAAAAATTTAAGAATTTGAAAAAGCTCATTATAAGAGACTCCTTAGGGCTAAAATAAAATATCTTATAACGAGGTGTATCTTAAATAGAAGGTCCCTTAAGCTCTACAACCGCTAGCTAACGTAATTTTAATAAACGTCTCTTAAATAGAGGTGCATCTAGTATTGAGTGTGTCTTATACAGAGCGTCTATTAAATAGGGTGTCTTATAATGAGGGTGTCTCTTATAATGAAGGTTCTTTTAAAATGAGGGTGTCTCTTAAATAGAGTGTCTCTTATAATGAGGGTATCTTTTATAATGAGGGTGTCTCTTATAATGAGGGTGTCTCTTAAATAGAGTGTCTCTTATAATGAGGGTGTCTTTTATAATGAGGGTGTCTTTTATAATGAGGGTGTCTATTAAATAGGGTGTCTCTTATAATGAGAGGGTCTCTTAAATAAAGTGTCTCTTATAATGAGAGTGTCTATTAAATAGGGTGTCCCTTATAATGAGAGGGTCTCTTATAATGAGAGGGTCTCTTATAATGAGGGTGTCTATTAAATAGTGTGTCTCTTATAATGAGGTGTCTATAGATAGGGTGTCTTTTATAATGAGGGTGTCTTTTATAATGAGGGTGTCTCTTATAATGAGCGTGTCTCTTATAATGAGGATGTATACTAAATAAAAGGATCTTTTGAGCAGATCAGTGAAAAACTGTGACCCAACTGCAAAGGTGCAGCCAGGGTCGATTTCAGGGGAGGGGCCCCTGGCTACGCCCTTGGTGTGCGCCAAACTGGGCTCCACAGCTCCAACTGTAAAAAACCAACCCTAATAACAAATTCTAAAGACTCGTCATGTTGAAGAGAGCACAGACTCTCAAAAATTGTAATTTGAATTTTAATATTTGGAATTAATTTAAATTGCGTCTGTCCATGAATCTCTTGATAAGGCTCGACTCGTTCCAATATTTTGTTCAAAGCACTATTTCCTAGGTCCCATTCTTCAATACGCATATGTCGACGAAAATAACTGTCCTTAAAAATAAAGATAAAAATTTATGATTTGCGGACGAATTTTGCGGACTAAAATTTGCGGACAGATTTTGCGGACAAAACTTGCGAATTGAAATTTGCGGACAAAAATTTGCGGACGAATTTTGCGGACTGACATTTGCGGATTGAAATTTGCGGACTAAAATTTGCGGACAAAACTTGCGGATTGAAATTTGCAGACAGATTTTGCAGATCAACACTTGCGGACAACACCTGTGGGATTACATTTGGGGACAGAATTTACGGACTGACTTTGCGGATTGACAATTCCGGAAGAAATTTGCGGACAAAATTTGCAGATTTTGCGAAAAGACATAATTTTTGCGGTCTGATTTGCGGTCAAAATTTGAGGATTTTTCGAACTAACATAAATTTTGCGGACAAAATTTGTGCCCGCAAGTGTTGCTTATTTTCTAATCGGGCCGACGTTCGAGTCATTTTTCGGGCCTCGATTCAATCTTTCGAACTGAACCGAAGCAGGCCGCAACTCTAGACAAAATTAGGGTTGGAGACCCGGTTCGGTTCGATTGATTGAATCGGGCTTCGATTTTGGCCCAAAAAAGACTTGAACGGCACGACTCGATAAAAATGGCCCGAAAAAAATGAACAGGGGCCCTATGACTCGAACGTCCTAAAATGACTCGAACGTCGGCCTCAGGCCCGTAGCCAGGATTTTTTTCAGGGGGGATTTCCCCCTACCCCCCCCCCCTGGCTACGGGCCTGGTCGGCCCGGTTCGAAACACCAACCCTGGTCACAATGACTAAATTTCTGACTAAAATTTTCAAAAAGGAGGGGGCCACTTAATTTTAAAAAATTTTCTCACAAACCTCAACAAAAGAATAAAGGAAACCTTGAGGCTTGTGAAAATTTTTTTAAATTTTTTAAGGAATTTGGGTAGCTCCCTTATTTTTTCTTAAAAATTTTGCTTAAAATTTGATTACCGCGACATTTGCGGCTAAAATTAGGCACAAAATTAGGCAAGCGATATTTGCGGACAAAATTTGCGGACGAAATTTGCGGATTTTGCGGAAAACATGATTTTGCGGACTGACATTTGCGGACAAAATTTGTGCTGCCGAATTCGCTTAATATTTTTAAAAATTTTTAAAAAATTCCCAAACCTCAAGAAAGGCACAAAGAAAACGGCAGTGAATATCAGTCAATTTTTCTTTGTTTTCTTCCAATTCGAGTATTTTATTTATTGAAGTTTCACCCAAAACTGAACGCAATTCTTGTGAACAACGAGTACAGCGAAGTATTAATTCAATCCACTGACTTTCCAATTTATTATTTGACCCGTTTGGGTATTTTAGTAAAAGTTGTAGAGAGAGTTGAACAAATTCGCTAAAAAATAAAAAAATAATTTAGCTCCTCCTAGAGAACAAGGACCCTATCGGACGAGTTTTCACATCCCCTAGGTAAGGGAAGTCCTCGGAAAAGTTTCCAAGGGGAAAGAAAATTCTCTGGGGAATGGACAAGGGCGTTGCCAGGGGGCTGGTGGCTGACCCACCCCTGACTTTTTTTGCTTCTGAAAGCTGAAGATCTTCACCCCCCACCCAGGAAAGGAGGAAAAAATTAGGAAAAGGATGATCAAAAAAGTGAACTTTTTCGCCTACAACCTCCAAAATTCAAAAAAAAATTTTGCCTGCGGCGCTGAAAAATCAAAATATGGTTCAAAAAAGTTGCGTTCGAAACGCCAAGGTAAACGATAAAATTTTGGCGCACACCCCATGGTAGCCCCCCCCCCACTTCCGAAATCGACTCCCTTCAAGATGTTCCCTTGGTACAAGAGAACATCTTGAACTGTAATCAAAAATTTCAAACATTTTCTTGCACCAGTGTGTCCCCTCAGAGCCCCTGTTTCCACCCCGTAGTTCAAAAACTCTTATTTCCCGTCCAATCAGTCTCTGCCTATTTCAAATTCAAAACACAGAAGTGCCTTAAATGAGGTCAGAAATGGTACAGGTCCACTAGCATTACAGCAAGGAAGCCGAGTTCGATTCTTGTCCCCGGTACCCAAATTTTGTATAATTCTTACACGGGAAAAAGGGAATCAAAAAGAAAATTATTGTTAGACGAAAGGTCCCAAAAAATTTAGAAAAATAAACCTGTATTCCGAAAATTGTTTAGCAACCAATTGAGGATGAAATTTAAATAAATTACAAAAAGTTTGCAGAATTTCAGGTTGCGTTTGAAACACGTCAATTTTATTATTTTTGTTCTTAACCAAATTTTTTGCAATATAAAGGCATCCATTGGTACGGAGAACACTCTAAAAATAAAAATTAAAAAAAAATTTTCAGAAAAAATTTTTTCTAAACTTTAAATGATTTTTTTAAAAAAGCTTCATTGCCCCTAGCCGGCGATTTGAATTTAAATTGCCAAATAAATCTGATTTTTTGCCTAGAGACAGTCAAGGAAATCTGAAAATGGGAAATTATGGACTACAGAGTAGCATCACATTTTCTGCGGACTTTTCTGCGGACTTTTTTGCGGACAAATTTTTGCGGACTTTTCTTGCGGATTATTTTTTGCGGCCATATTGCTGACGACTTTTCTTAGGGATATTTTTCCTGACTTTTTTTTAGGATTTTTTACAGACTTACCTTCGGATATATTTCGCGGATATTTGAGGATTTTCTTTTCGGATTTTTTGCGGACTTTTAGGATTTTCTTATGATTTTTTGCGGAGTTAACTTGCGGATTTTCTTTTATTGAGGACTTTTTTTGTAACTTTTTAGCAATTTTTTGCGGACTTTTTAGTTTCCGATTTTTTTAAATTGCGGATTACATCTCCGTAAAAAATTTTTTTTTCGAAGGCAGACAGCCCCGCTTTGGATCCTTAAAAAAATCCTAACCCTCAAAAAGCTTAGGGTCCTCAAAAAAATTTTTTCGAAGGCACACATCCCAGCTATGGATCCTTCAAAAAATCAGAGCCCTATTTCAAATTTAACCCAATTTCTAAAAAATTAAAAAACCTTGGAAAGTTGGCTACGTTTAGAAAGCAATCTTAATATTCTCAATGCTTGTTCCCCAGCTTTTTGATCCTCCAATTTTAGACAATTGACCACTTTTTCAAGTAAAACATGATTTAGCGCGATTATTTGAGCCGTTTCCTTCAATTCACACAAATTTCCGATAAGCCGTAAAATTGCTGTTTTGACTGGTAATTGTTCCTTTTTGGAGAGAAAGTAAAGATATAGACGAATTAGAGTAGTGTTTTTATCGCGAATCTGAAAAAAAAAAGGTTAAATTGATTGGGGAGAAGCGGTAAGATTGCCCACATATAGCAATTTTTCAGTGTCTGGCTAACTCAAAAAACAGATAAGACAAGGAACGACAAGTCACGGAATTACCAACTCACGGAATATTTTAAAAATCAGAATTTAAAAAAATTCTGAAATATTCTGATTTCTGAAAATATTCTGATTTTTAAAAATATTCAGTGTTGTATTTTCTCTCAAAAATGAGCTCGTAACCTTTTTGACCCAAATGAGACAATTGTAAACTTGACCCAAATGAGTCCGTAACAATTTTGACCCAAATGAGTTTGTACCCGCTTAACCTAATTGAGACAGTGGAAAGTTTGACCCAAACAAGCTCAAATTATGACTAGGGTAGCACCCCGAGCCTTCGGAGGCGGGATCGTCGGGGAACGGGGTTTGCCGGAGTATAGCCTTCAGGGTTTGGGTCGGGGGTTTTGCCTAAAAATTCGTCGAGGGACAGGGTGCTAGCCTAATTATGACCCAAATGTTCCCTCGAACATTTTGACCCAAATGAGCTCGTAGAGAATGAAAAATTGTAAATTTGAAAAGGACTGATCAAGTGGCTCAGTGGGTATTTGAAAAGTTTAGACTGACATTCAGAGAAAAGACAACCAGTGAAAATTGCTATCTGAGGATAAAAATAAAAAAGCAAACCTCTACACAAGCCAAAACAGAAAGATGACACATATTAGCCAAAATACTAATAATTTCTTTGGTAATCGAATAAATTTCATCTTCACTCAACGGGAAATTACTAAAGATAAAATTATAAAAATGCAGTTAGGGCTGAAAAATTCATACCTTATAATGAGGTCTCTTAAATAGAGGGTATCGCTCAAGGGCGTATCCAGGGGGGGCTGGGGGGGGGGGGCTAGAGCCCCCCCCCCCCCCCCCGAAATGGGGGAAAGGGGGAAAAAATTAGGAGAAGGATGGTCGAAAAAGTGAAATTTTTTCGCCTACAACCCTCAAATTTTAAAAAATTTTCGCCTGCGGCGCAAAAAATGGAAGAAATCTGGCTGCCTGAGCTCCAAAATCCTCAAAATTTTCGCCTGCGGCGCTAAAAAGGAAGAAATCTGGCTTCTTGGGCTCCAAATTCCAAAAAATTTTCGCCTGCGGCGCTGAAAAAGTGAAATTTTTTGGCCTACGGCCTTCGAATTTAAAAAAATTTTCGCCTGCGGCGCAAAAAACTGAATTTTTTTGGCCTACGGCCATCTAAAATTAAAAAAATTTTCAGCGCCTGCGGCGCTGAAAATATAAAAAGTTATGTACAAAAAAATTTGCCGTAGGAACGCCAAGGTAAACGCCAAAAATTTTTGCGCCCACCCAGTGTTAGCCCCCCTCCCCCGAAACCGACCCCCTGGATACGCCCTTGGTATCGCTCTTAGGAAACATTCCCATATAAACATTCCCCATAGCCAGGGGTGGGGAGGGGATTGTCCAAAAAATTTAATTTTTCGACCTATGGCCTTCTAAAATTCTCAAAATTTTCGCCCGCGGCGCCAAAAATTCGGCGCACTCCCATATTTTAGCCCCACATAAAATCCAGCTCCTGGCTAATATAGATGCGTCCAACCTAAAATAATTTTAAAAAATAGAAACCTTTGTACACTTCCTTTATCCCATTGTAATTTTTCATTAAAAATATTCAGCAAATATTGCATTAAGGCATTAAAGCATTTTTTGTTTTGATGATTCAAAAATGTTAACACACGCTCTTTGGTTGTTAAATGCTAAAAAAAAAATTTTTTTTTGACTTTATCTGAATGTAAAAAATATTTAGAGAGGGGGGAAGGATTGGTTGGCTTGTACCCCTGGAATTACGCCCATTTTTTCGACCTGAAATCCGATCCAATTTTGGCACTTCTATCGACCGTTAAAAGTATCCCGCACCAGGGATGTCACGGGTTACCCGAAACCCGGCCTTTTTTTCGACCCGATACCCGATCCGAGAAATTTTCTAAAACCCGACCCGAGTTTTCTCAAAATTTTCGCCCTCGTCGGAGAAAAAAGGAAGATTTTTAGCTTAACGATCTTCCAAAATTCTGAAAATTTTCGCCTGCGGCGCTGAGAAGGGAAAATACCCGGACTTTTTTTCGACCCGAAACCCGACCCGACTTTTTACTCAACCCGATCCGAGAAAAATTTTGGAAAGTTGAGCCAACATTTTTTTAATCCTTCCAAAAATTATCCTGGAATCAGGCACTCAATTCTAATTAGGGTTGCCGTTTTCGAGTCGGGTCGACGGCCGAGACATTTTTTTGGGCTTGTTCTTATCGAGTCGGGTCATACGACGAACCTTTTTCGGGCCAAATATTTTAGATTCGACTCGATCTTTCGGCCAGAGTCGATCCATTTCGTAACCTTAATTCTAATAGTAAGGACAGTAAACTATTGGTGAACCCTTTTTTTTAATATGACCCAGAATAACCCACCTAAGTCGATCCTAAAAAATTTTTTTAAAAATTTGCAAACCTTTTTAAGTAAATAAAGCCCCTTAGTAATCAATTTAACATCATTCGATGCAATTGCACTAATAAACGAATCAGGCTCAAATTCTTCTCCAGAAGGTTCTTGTATTTTTGGACGCTTTTCTGATGAAGTACCAACATCGGTTAAAGACGAAGATTTTCGCTTCAAATCCATTCTATCAAAATTTAATAAAATCTCACTTTTAGACACCCCTAAAGAAATCTGTACCTTATAATGGGGGGTGTACCTTATAATGGGGTTATACCTTATAATGAGGGGTGTACCTTATAAAGAGGTGTACCTTATAATGGAGAGTGTACCTTATAATGGGGGGTGTACCTTATAATGAGGGGTGTACCTTATAAAGGTATGTTCTTTATAAAGGGGTGTTCCTTATAATGAGGTGTACCTTAAATAGAGGGTAAGCCCGTATTTTACAATGGGGCGTTCTTTATAAAGAGGTGTACCTTATAATGAAGTGTATCTTATTTAGAGTGTGTTCGTTTAGGCAGCCCCTTCATCCTATGGCCAATCGAGTTTTAAACGTATTTTAAACTGAGGTCTATTTAATTCTAGGGGTATCTAAAAGTGAGGTCCGATTAGGAAAATTTTTATGACCCCCCATAATGCCAAAGTGCCTTAAAGTCAAGAAAAACCTCCAAAAGGTGCCGAAATGCCGATTTCTACTGTTTGGCATTTCGGCGGTTTTTGAAGGTTTTCTTTGGCATTTTGGTGCTTTGGCTTTACGGCGCTACTAGGGTAAAATAGAAAAAAAGTTATAAAATATTAAACAATTTAATAAAAATTGTTAAAAAATTTTAAAAGAAAAATGACTGGAAAATTTTTAAAAATTTTATTTAAAAAAAATATATCACAAATTTAATAAAAGTCATTTGGAATTGTGAAAGGAAATCTTTTGAAAATGATATTAATTGAATTAAAAAAAATTTTTTAACACCCCTAGAAATTGTTACAAAGCGCCCCAACTTTGTTTGTTGGTGTAAAGAGAGATATGAATCATATGGGAACATTTAAAAATTCTTAGGATTAAAGAATAAAATGGAAGGGAAAGAAAGATGTCAACCAAGAAGAAAAATGATATGAAAGAGGGAGAAATATCAAGCAAGGGGTTCGATACATACGCGATAAAAAACCCTGGGCCGGGTAATAAAAAAAAACATTTGGGTTGGAATCGGTCTCGGGGTTTCGAAAAAAATCCGGATTAGGCAAGGGATCAGTAATGGAGATTTGGTCGGATTAAGGTTCTCAAGAAGGTTAAGTGGGATTTGAAAGAGTTGAGAGCAGTGATGGTTATGGCTCCGGAGCTAGCGGAGCCGAAATTCAGCGGAGCTAAGATTTTGAAAACCTCGGAGCCGGAGCCAAGTGAGAGCCAATACCCAACAAGGTTGTCAGATACCTATCCGGGTACGAAAAAAGGCTGGATATCCGGGAATTTTGGTACGTGTCTTGGATCCGAATACCCGATGATTTCCAACTATCCTACAAATTTAATGCCAAACACTGGTTAAGAAGTGTTTGCAGAGATAATAGAGGATTGTAGAGGTAGACAAGTCCCCATCCCTTAATATTCCTCTTAATCCCCACATCCCCGGATATCCCTATTACTCCTCCAAATCCTTTTTCATGTGGAGATTTAGGGGAAAAAGTTCAGCGTTTGAGTCTATAGGTAACACGATCAAGGACGTATCCAGCGGGAATGGAGAACCAAGAGCCCCTCCCCAGCTTACGACCTCCCAAATTCAAAATTTACCCCACTGAAATCAAACCCCTGGCTACGCCCTTACGACCCGGCCCATCCCTAATAAAAAATAAAAAATTGAAAAAAAAAACCTTAAAAACAGCCAAAAAAAATTTTCAAAAAATTATGCACGTCATTTTGTACCACAAGTATGCGTTTCCAACAAACAAATCCATTCCTCCAAAAATTTACGTTCATTTGTCAAATCTGGATGGTGAAAACCGTCGTGGAGACAATGTCTAAGTGCATCCAATTTCTTTTTTGGGTCTTTGTGGTGACAGGCAATTTTAAATTCTTCCATGGTTGCTTCGACAATACGACCAAGTCCACTACGGGGAAAAGAAAATTTTTTAGTGAAAAACTTTAACTGCCGAACCTCATTCTTACATACACCTTTGGTTCTGAAAAAAGTACCTTATAATGGGGGGTTATCTTAAAACGGGGGCATCGTTTGTGTAGCTCCAAATTTTCAAAACCTCATTATAAAATACCTCTTGGGAACGGAATAATCCGTACTTTCTAATAAGGGGTATTCGATTTAGGATACGGGTACACCCGGAGAGCCCAGTATACCGCCGAGCTATAACTCGTTCAAAATTGTTGAATCCGGGAGGCCCTGCTGGTATAGTTTGATTCAGCTCTTCAAGTCGCATCGAACCATACCAGGACATTCTGGATTCAACGATTTTGAACGAAGTTATAGCTCGGCGGTACGTTGGTCTTGCGGTATAACGACTTGCTCCCTTAGGATACATCTACTACTTTTATAACGTGGATAAGCTTTCTCAGCGGTGTATCATATAATAAGATCTAATTTTGCTAATTTTTTATAAAAAGGTTCAATGTAAGGTCAGATAAACCTCAAGATAAGATACGACTGTAAAAACTCACTATAAGGATTTTTCATAACCAAAGGTCCGACCCAATAAAACCCCAAAAAACTAAATAAAAACAAACTATAGCGTGTATAACAATTCTTGTTGATCGCCAGATTCCTTTAAATAGGTAACATAATATTGAGCAGCCTCGGGTCTCTCCATCAAAATTGAACGGAAAATGGGGTTGTCCAAAGTTCGTTTAATAAACTGGATGATCTAAAATTAAAGAGTATACTGGCTTAATTCAAAACGCCGTATGTAAAAAACACCAAAAAACCAAAACCCCAAAAAGCCATCGAAATGCCAAATTTATTGTGGAAAATTTATTGAAAAGACACCCCCCCCCCCCAACCGCCAAAATGCCAAACTGTGGAGAAGTTGATGAAAAGACAGAAACCCCTCCAAAAAACCGCCGAAATACCACTTTACTTACGGCGGAAAAAAAGGATCTAGTTACAAGATACCTCACTGGGACCGTAACCAGGATTTTTTCGGGAGGGGGGGGGGCAAAAAATGTTTAAATATCAGAGGAGTATAGTAGATATTTTTGCGGCTTTTGAGGTGTTTGGCATTTCGGCGTTTTGGATACGGCACGATGCGAAATTATTAAATTTAAAATAAACCGTAACAACAACGTCCCAATTTCCAGATTCTAGCCCTTCATCTAACAAATCCAGTTTATCCTTCTTTGAAATGTACAAGTCTAAAGATGTTGGCTCACAATTGCAAAGTCTTCTCACAGTTTCGTTTATAGGTAGAGGTTTAAATCGGTTTTTATAATCTGCCTTGAAAAGTTTAAATAAAAATTTTATGTCGGATCTAGTTACAAGATACCTCACTGGGACCGTAACCAGGATTTTTTCGGGAGGGGGGGCAAGGGGTCACCCTCCCCTGGCTATGGGCCTGTACCTCATTGGGACCAAACCGATCGTTCCTTATAATGAAATTTATCATAAATAGAGTGAAAAATTCGGAATTTTCCCCATCCACTAAATTTAAAAATCTCATTATAAGATACGCTTTCCCAGACTAGCTCTTGAGAAACACCTCTATTTAAGACACGTTTTTTTTAATTTGTTTGACAAATGGGTGGAAGAGATGCCTAAATGATGTCCCATATTTAAGAAGCTTCATTATAAGCCAAGAGCGTGGAGCTTCGCGGGCTAACATAAGCCCCCCCCCCACCACGAAATGTGGAAAAAAAAATTTTTGCAATATGGTTTAAAAAATTTGCATTCAAAACGCCAAAATTTTGTCGCATACCCCATCTTAACTAGAGGTCGGCAAAATCGAACTTCCGGGATCCCGAGGGATAAATCCCGAAAAAATTCCGGATCCCGAAAATCAAAAAAATCCGGGAGTTCGAGATCGGGATCCCGGAAAATACCGTCGGGATCCCGTCCCGCGCCGACCTCTAATCTTAACCCCTTGAAATCGACCCCGGGCACGCCCTTGTCATAAGCTAAGATTTTTCAATTCCCAAAGGGGTTATCCAAAATCGAGTTAAAACAATTAAAAAAACCTCAAAATATTTTTTTAATTTTCTATGTTCAGCCTTCAAACGAGAATAATCCAGTTGAATTGTAGAGTTGCTTGAAGTTTTGGTAGTAGAGCAAATTGAATTATTTTCTGATTTGGTTGAACTCTTAGCCGTTGGGCATGAAGAAGATTGATGGGAGGAAGGGGAGACCTGGAAAATTTTTTTTTAATTTTTAAAAATTTTTTAGAAACAAAAACAGGACCAGAATGGATGCTAAACCAAAATAGGTCATTTCTGTAATTTAATTAAATCAATTACCGCCAAGCGGGGTCGAACCTGGTACCTATTTATTTTCAAGTTAACAATATACCACTAAACCAGATTTTACTGATCCCTAAGAGGCATGAAATCTTTAAGAAAAAGCGTCTCTGTAATTAAATTAAATTAATTCCCGTCAAGCGGGGTCGAACCTGGCACCTATCTACTTCCAATTTACAGGTGAACCACTACACCAAAGGTAGACAAAACCTCCAATTGGCAAAAAACATATGAAAAATTGGGGGAATTTGAGTTTCCACTTCCGGTGTTCCTAGTTCCTATAGGTAGAGGCTAACTCGAGGAATTCGAATTCACGGAACAGACAGGTCGCGGAACAGACATCTTACAGAATGACCAAAACACGGAATATTTTAAAAATCAGAATATTCTTAGAAGTCAGAAATTTTTCAGATTTTTTTAAAATTCTATTTTTTGAAATACTCTAGTTTGTTAAAAAAAGACTTATTTTTTAAAAATATTCAGATTCTTCAAAGAATTTCGAGCTTTTAAATTATTCCGTGAGTTGTCCGTTCCGTGAGTCAATGGCGCCCTCCCAAAAAATTTACCCGAAAGGCGCCGCCCCTCAAGAAACGACAACAATAATAAAAATAACTAACCTCCTTAAACTCATTCGAAACCGAAGCAAATTGTTGTTGCTGTTCACTCACTGCATCAGCCACAGCCTGAGGCGACTGCTTTTTAGCTTCCCTTCCCGTAGACTTGATAAAATTCCCATCAAAATCCTCAACGACTATTTGCTCTCTGAACACATCCGAGAGAGAATATGAAGAAGTTTGAGGCTGTTGTCCATTTGAAGGGGAGAAAAGGCCATCCCAAATGTCGTTGTTTGTCGAAATTAATAAATTTCGACTTAAAATAAATTCGAAAAGACGTAAAATTTTAATATTTATTCTCAAAGTTTAAAAGTTTTAATAATTTTTTTGGGGGAAGATTTTTATTCTTAAAATTAAAAGTGAAGAGGAAAAAGATATTTTTGGGGCATTAGAATTTGCTTTTAAAGAAGGGTGAAAACAAGAATTGTTTTAAAAGTATGATTAAGTTGGAATATCAAAAATATGAATTATTTGGGAAGAAACATGAAAAGAATCATCGGAAAGATTATGAAATAATAATAAAAATAGAAATTGGAATTTTGTTAAAAAATATTAAAAATATAATATTATGAAACATCATTAAGTCGGGCCAGTCCCGACACTCCGGCGGAAACAAAATTTGTAGACAGAAATTAGAATTAAGCGAAAGAGTATTGGTAGGATGCAGTTGATTAGTAGAAGTAAGGAAATTATTGTTGCAATAAAAATTAAGATGTGCAGAGGGTTAAAAAAGAAAGAAAGCGTGTCCAATATGCTCGGTAAATTTATTTCTCCGAATTTTGTTTCATTTGTTTTTGTTTTTATCCAAATATCTGCTTTCTCCGCGCTCGCCAGGGCTAATGTTCCAACTAACTGAAAATTAAAGTTTGAACTGGGACAATGGATTTCACAATTTTCATCGATATTAGAATGTTCTAAATGGACTGAAATAATTCTCTTGGTTCCTTTAGGATCACAAATCACAACAGTTTTTAAGCTAGGACATGTTATATACCCTAGGTTTTTCCCAAAATCTGTTTTGCATTGTAATGTTAATATTGCCCCTCTAACGCATTTGTAACAGCCTTCTATTGACGCGGATTGGACTTTACAACTATTTAATTCAATTTCTGTGCGCAAAAACATTCCTTCAATTCTAACTTCCATTTTTGCGGAAGCTAGGTCAGGATTAAAAATTACTTCAGAGTTTTTTGTTTTAAAAACGAGACCGTTGTGTTCAAAGGGTAAAGTTTGGTCCCCTCTTAATAATTGGGATATTTTTCTCCCATCTTGACAAGTACACGCGGCTATATCGTTGGCCAAATGGCAATCGCAGGTTTTATACGCTATACTACATTTTATAAATTCTCTCGCCTCTTGCGCTGTTTTACAATAAAATTTCCTAAGATTATGCTCTTTTTCAAAATCGATAATGGCTGTAGCGCGATTATTGGCTATAAAAGGTTTGACTAGTGTAGGAGTGGGAGGGATGTTTAAATCATTTAAAACCATTTTTAATTTATTCCATTCTTTCATAAATTGGGGTATTAAATTTACTTCAAAACTTTCGCTTATAAATTCTCCCTTTCCGTCATTTTTAGTTAATGAAACATTTAAGTTTAATGCGATATCCCACTTTTCACATTCAAAGACTTCAAAAATTTCGTTTCCTATAGGTTTTGCATAGTACCTATAAAAAGTGCATGGAGCTGTAGCATAGAAACATCCTGTCATTGGCCAATTATTCATACCTTCGACACAACCTGTAATCCCCGGAAAGTTTTGGACTGCTTCTAATTCTAATATTGTTTCATTTACTTTAATTTCCGCGCATTTATTACCTTTACAACTTCCTGTTTCTGGGCATCTCTTAACACTCATTACATTCATTTCATATTCTCTTGTAAAAAATTTTGTTTTCTTTGCGCAGCGTGCTTCCGCGTTTAATATTTTTAAATTTATCATTCCTGCTGGTCTGTTAGCGTGATCCTCAAATAATATTTTGATTTCTTGTTCCCTAGGTAGAAAATTTAACTCAATCACTTTTTCAAATAAGCATGTCCGCTCTTTATTTTTATTTACAACACATTTTTCTTCCTGAGCGGTAATAGTGGTTAATTGAAGACTTTCGGGAATGGTCAAAAATATTAATACTATTGTTAATTTTATCGGATTTATTTCCCTTTTGGCTTTTATTAATTTTAGTTCACTTTCCTCATTTTTGCCCCGATTACTCTTTATATTATATTTTCTATAAATCCATCGCATTAATCGAAATTTAAAATTTAATAAGCAAAATGCCCCTCTGAATCCAAACACAATCACACGAAAAACAGTCATTATTATTGAAAAGAATATATAGAAAATTATTGCGAACAATATTATAGCAGTTTTTGAAGCACATTGTGGATTTTTAAGCAATTCTATACAAATATTACATTTTATAATTTCACAAATTACTTTAGCTTCACAATTTATCCCAGATTCTTTTACTAATTCTCCGTATCTCCAAAATTTAATTTTAATTTCATAATTTGAAACCAATATTTCTTTTGATAATGGAATTAATTCTTCCAATTTTGGGTGGGGAAAGAGCGCGCATCGATCATTTTTTACACATATCTCTACACTTCCTATCTCTTCTTGTGAAAATATTTTTACTCCCTCTTTGTGACATTCAACATGACATTTTTCACATTTTAAATTTTCTTTTCTTTCAAGAAATCCCCTAACTTTTATTTTTACACGACCCCAAGCCTTCAAAGCTATATTTCCATTATCATTTACTAGGAGAGAAATTTCATTTCCTGGGTAATAACAAAATTTTGTTCCATGTAGCTCACAGATATGGTCTAAACAATATTTAGGGGAGCCTGTAATGGGTCCGGTTCCTATACATTCATATTCTTCGGGTAGTGCTTGTTTTTCTTCAATTTTCATTTCCTTTATTATATGGAGAGAATTGTCAAATAATTGTATTTGATTCACTTCTATTAATTTTAGGGGCCCACAATTTTCAATTTTCTCACATTTTTCTAAAGCCAAACTTTCCAAAATCTTTTGAACATTTTTATTTTTTATTGTTGAATTTTTAGTACTGGGGCCATTATAAAAGGAACATGTTTCGGTCCATTGTGGGCATTTACAAGGTACATTACAGTTTTCAGACTCAAAATGTTCCTTTTTAGAATAATCACAATTAATTATTTCCCAACAAAAATTCCCATCGGGTGCTTTCATTATTTTTAACCCGTTGGTTGCGCACGTTTGCGACTTGACTAAAACATTCCTTTGTCCTTTTTGGCACGGTGCTCCAACGCTTCTCCCCATTAATATAAAAAGAATTAGTACCAGAGACATTAAAAAGACAGAAGTGTTCAGGAATTTATTTTTTGAATTTTTGCGGGAATTTTGTTTTTTCGAGTTTTGGCATTTTGTATTCATCTTTTCTGGCGACTTATAAATATCCGCAATTA